GCAATCTACTTCCTGGTTCTATTTTCAGTGACTGTATGTGTGGGAACTGAGTGTGAGATTCACTTCGTTACCCCCGATGCAATAACATTAACACATATAAAGCACAAACAGTCAGATACGTGTACTTACCCATGTGTTTGTGACATATGTCTACCAAGAGAGCTCCAACTGTGAGGATGAGACGGGTGTACAGCATGGCCATGTCGGCAGTGTGTGAAACTAGATCTCGTGTAGGTAATGGATACTGGCGATACAGACGAGTACCCATTAATGTTATAACCAAGAAGGTGGGGAAGTTATACTGCTGTGCGGCGTCAGGCAACAAACTAGCAGATATTGGTGCTGGGGCACAGCGTATACGTATTGATTGTATGTGTCTGTGTAGACGTGTTACAGACGAGTACCCATTAATGTAATAACCAAGCAGGTGGGGAAGTTATACTGCCGTGCGGTGTCAGGCAACAAACAAACGATTACTTTGTTTCAGCAATTTATGTGAGTCTCTCGTGCTACCGGTCGATCTTGTGCCATCACTAATTTTCAGTAATCCATTTAAATAATTTTCCGCTGCTATGTTGCCTTTTACGCCTCGTGGAATCTGTGTCTGCAGAAAATCGAGACTGGTTATGTTCTGGCGTTGACGTTTTATATTATGCTACTTTCTATTACTCATCTCCAAAGAGACGCGTATAGTTTTCAAGACATCAGCCCGGAATGTAGTTGCAGGAAGGAGAACAAACTGTGTCAGTTACACATGTTCATGTAAATGAATAAATAAACAAATAAACAAACACACAAACAAGCAAACATATAGATACAGTTTAGCCTATGTATTCATACTCTGGTTTTTGAACAAGTGAAATGTGTAATCTTGAGCATCTGGCCGCTGAAATCATTTTCAGAATGACACTGGCTATATGTTATGAAACAACATAGCAATGCCGACCTTAAGAGGCTATTCGAGTATATGGAGTTACCTAACACGTGGACCCACTGAACACATTACAAGCTATGTTACATATTTTTCTTCAAAGTCAGGGGCGGTCGGGTAGCCTAGTGGTTAAAGCGTTCGCTCGTCGCGCCGAAGACCCGGGGTCGATTCCCGACATGTGTACAATGTGTGAAGCCCATTTCTGGTGTCCCCCGCCATGATATTGCTGGAATATTGCTAAAAGCGGCGTAAAACACGTGGACCCACTGAACACATTACAAACTATGTTACATATTTTTCTTCAAAGTCATGGTAAGCATAAGTCACATATCGGAATGATTGATTTCTATAAACTGACATGCAGTGTGTGCATTAGAACTATCGCCTGGGTTTGTGGGAATTATTGTAAATTTACAGAAGCAATATTGTTCACATGTGAGCTTTATTCAAAATAGTTATTCAGTATTCATAATCTCGGAAAAGCATGAAAAGAGTACCTGTTTGTTTCATAATCAATATCATATTTCTGAAATCAATGAAGTTATATTCGTTTTTTTTCCCTCCTCCGTTGTTTCAGCTGAAGATATCTGGAAAACACGTCTGTCATCACAAACACTAAACTGCAGCCACGATTATTTGGCAATGGGGCAACCAATATAAAGTCACCTTTAGAATCCTCCAAATCATCGTCCTCTTCTCAGTCATCCTCATCCGAGGCTTTTATCTTTTCTAGATCTATATGTGACAATAAACCACTCATCACTGATTTAGTCCTTATGTTCACAAAGCCAATGGCCCCACTGTGCATGTTACTGTTGTTACATTTGTCGTTCGTCTGACTTGGGAACAAATTTATCCAAATGTTATATCCCACCTACATATTATAACATCCCAACATTGAAGAAGAAATCAATGTTTCCAACACACACCACAGTTTTAGTAATGTGCCCTGTAACCACATCGACTGATAAAGAGGCAGTTTATAGAAATGTAAACATCACAGTGAGAGTTGTGGCATGCATTGTAACTTGTGTGATATTCGTTTTTGTTGTTGTTCTGCCTCAGTGATCTAGTGATCAGAAGGTCTGCCCAAAGAGTGGAAGGTCTGTGGTTCGATCCCTTGTCGCGTCATACCCAAAAACTTTAAAAAATGGAACTTGTTGTTACGCTGCTTGGTGCTCGGCATTTAAAGATAAAACAAGTCCTTGTCGGGGGCTCAGGGGCAGGATACTGTTTCTGAGTGGGGAATCCATGTTAACACGAGGCAGTGTATCTCAGTGGGCTGTCAATGGCGGTCTGCAGTTATGACTTGTACAAACAAGTATACACGTACACACTCACTCACGCACCCACGCACACACGCACATACTTAAACACGCACACACGCTCACACACGTACACTCACGCTCGAATGCACGTCACTAAATAAGGGTAATACAATTGTGACGTTTAACACCAATTCACATCACCTCACCTCCTCAATTAAGGTGAAGTGTTTATCATAATATTGCAGTACTGGCATCTGGTTAAGTGATGGCAATACCTGACTTTGTACGACTGTATGTTAAAACTAAAAACAAAACCTGGCTGATCAGGTTTCCTCATTTAGGTTCAACAACAAATGCTGCTTCGCACCAAATAATAGAAACAGGTTAAAGTCCAAGAAATCTGAAATCTACCAATATTTTAACTAAAGTGTTTCCATTACGTTAACGTTATCATCAAAGTGTTTGGTCAAATTATTTTGAAAATATATTTATTTGCTATGTGACATATTCAGTGACAAAGGCGATACATATATAGACATGAGCATAACCAACATAATTTGACTGAGCTCCTTTAAATTACTCGCCATGGTCAACGTTTGGTTTCTGTAACTGTGCTTTTATCGAGCAAACATAAAACAATGTAATGAAAACGTGAAGTGAGTAATAACTTTTGTTGTTGGATTGTTGTTTAACGCCGCACTCAGCAATATTCAAGTTATATAATGACGGTTTGTAAATAATCGAGACTGGACCAGACAATCCAGTGATGACATCATGAGCACCGATCTAACCAACTCAGCGAGCATGACCACCCGATCCCGTTAGACGCTTCTTATGACAAACGTAGTCGCCTTTTACAGCAGGCACGGGTTGCTGAAGACAACTCCGGATCTTCACGGGTCTAACGATGTTTTGACTCAAAGGAAAGGATTCTAATATGCTGCCCATGTTCCTTGGTCTGTCACTGGACATGATATAATGAAGTCTTCCTTCTTCGTTAATTATTGTCATGGTCAGGACCTGAAAAGTAAAGAACTACATATAAGTAAACACAGATTATATGACAGGTTTCATATCGCTCACAATAACATGAAATGCTAAAGGTGTTACATTAGGGTAGAAAAGAAAGCATACGCTTCTGTTTAATGCTTCTGTACATGCCCCACACTTTGTCCATGGCAATGACATACGATTCAAACCAGCAAGAGTGTTTCATGTTTTGGTTACCTTGAGAATGTGCTCCAGTGTTCTGATATGGAGATGGTTTGATGGACTCATAGGTCACAGGGGGAGTTTCTGTCATGCCTTCATAGGTGCTTGCAACAGCTGCAGCATCCGCTGAAGATATAAGTCATTGCGTATTACAACAACAAATCCGAATCACAACTCCCTTCTTCTAACTAGCACTTTAATATTACCTTCATTTGAATGCTTAAACTTAAACAATACTGAGTGAAAATGCAAAATCTATATCCACCTTTTGTATTCTCATAAATCTTCAACTGTGAATACGGTTGTTTTTCTGATTCCTCCAAATTTGAATACTGGACTGGACCATTTGTTTGATCTGAAACAAAACAATGTGAAAATATTGTATTGACTTCAGTACAAAACAGATCCATATATAATGGTAATTTCAGCAAAAGGGAAACACCCAGTACCTTGTACATACCTAATGATGAATACCCTCTGTTGTCCATTTCTACAGCTTCAGGATTCCTCCTGCTGCAAAGATAATAAGGTTGATTTCTAAAAACACATAATGTAATGGAGCGATTTACTTCAGTATGTGATATACGTTTTTACTTGTCTTGTTATTACTCTTTACTTTATTTACTTTTTTCACATATTCTTAACGTTGTTATCTTTAACCTTGACATTTACACTACCTTTTTCGTAATGCAGTTTCTGGAAAACAAAAATAGCCACATGGTACATAATGTTAAACACACATCATACATGGCAACACAATTTGACATCCATAAAGGAAGCCTACAGCGGCAATGATCAAGTAAACTGTAAATGACTGCATATTACCATATAAATAGCAACCTTTAATCAAACATTTGTTTTGACAAATGTGTCCATTCTGTCAACATTACACATGCAATTTAGGAAATCCTAGGCCTGACAATCATTCTATCAAGCGCATTAATCAATATCATGGATAATCACTATGCATTATTCCTCTTGACAATCATTTTACAATGGAATGTTAACTGTATACCTGTCAGAACATGTCCGAGTCTAGGTCTGTAGCCCTTTCTGTACAGTACTATCAGAACAATTCCCCCAATGAGCAGGGTAAGAAGAATGCCTCCTACTGTGGATCCTGCTATTATCCCTGTACATGAACATGGCGTTTCGAGTTTTTGCTGATTTGGTAGATCTACAATGTAAAAAAAAATCAGACGAAGTGCTAATCCGCGTATGACATTCTAAACGGGTGAAAGGGTATTCGTTTCCAGTTTCCTACTTTCAAACAAACAAATTGGTGATTGGTGGGTGATGGCACATAATTCATAGGTTCGAATCTGAACATATGTGTAAACGTGATGTCTTGTTTTTTTTATACTGACACTGCTAAAAGATATGTAGGTCACAACTTATTGCCTTGAACCCACATACACATGTTCACGATGAATGAATATAACCCTTGAAAACTTCATTAGATATAATGAACATTACTTAAAGTACTTCAAAATAAGAAATAATTCCAGTATCGAATGGATGAGTTATGTTTTCCACATAAACAGGAAAAAAGTAAAACTTCCAAATACAACATATGCTTGTATAAATTCTTTATGGTGATGAGTTGTTAATTACATTTAACTGATAATCAGATTAAACCATTTGTGATTCCACTTGAGTGACACATACCTCCAGCAGTCCTTGTTTCTAAAAATACATATCTGCTAGAATCCACATAGTCATTTCTCGAATGTAGTCGAAATATGTGAATATCTCCCGGTGTAAGCCCAGTCACTTCCACCACCATCATCTTGCCGGTGTCTGCATAGGTCTTGTACACAGTCCATGTTCTTGTAGCAAACTTGAGATGCTCAAGCAGAAACCTCTGAGGGTGTCCACCATTGAACCCAGGCAGCCAAGATAACCATACCGACGACGTTGTTGCATTATCCAGGTCTCTCAACTGTGTAGGTATCTCTGGTGGCCCTGACAACAAATTAATATGAAAAGGAATGCTGTAAAAGCTTTATCAGAGAATGCTGTAATATTAAGCTCTTTATTTGTAAAATGAAGATGTAATGATTACACAACAGCCAGAGAAAGGTATTGGAACACATGAACAAGTGCATCCTGAAATAGTGAATGATAAATCAGAATATCGCGGCTCACCTTCAGACACTATGCTGACTGTATATGTCAATGAACTGCTTTCACCGTTGTTGACTGTCAGACTGTAGTCCCCGAAGTCCTGCTGTTGGAGGTTAGTAAGGTGTAGTCTGGCAGTGACTGAGATGTCTGAGACAGGGCTGGAGGAACCAGTGAGGTCCTGTCTGATGCTGGTGGTTCTACTCCAGGTGAATGTAGGAAGGGGGTAGGCCAGGATCGACACAGACACGTTCACGTTACCACCAAGTCTAGTGGCGTATTTGAGTTGCTGGGGAACTGTCTCATCTAGTCGAGGGGAACCTGGTTAAATGTGGACAACATATGTAATGGCCCTGGAACAAATAATATATGTTTATTATGAAGACCAAATTTATCGATTATGTACAATTATTCATCAGGACACTTTCGTTGATATTTCAACTTGGCAGTATCAACATAAGAGACATGATAACACAAATATACAAGCATACCGTAGGCCGGCCATTTACTCAACAGCGTTAGTATCATATACACAGTTGTGACATCAACCATCAATGGAAATCATCACAACACTACCAGCCGAACTGAATATCCAAACAAAGATTACATTTGACCAGCAACACCACCCTCTGGCTGACAGGTGTCCCGATGTTGTTAGTGGCAGTACAGGAGTAGTTCCCTCTTTGTCTACAGTCTGCTGACGCCAGTCTATATTCTGCTGTCAGGGTGTTATCTGCCCTTGTCAACTCCTCAGTTCCATTCAGTAACCTGATGACTGACCTTGGGTTACTATCAACCTGGCATTTCAAGGTCACTGGATTTGACTCGTTAACTGTCACTGAACCACCAAGAGAGTTGACAGTAAACATTCTTACAGTGGCGGCATCTGAAAATATAACAGCATGAATATCTGTGGTTCGCTTTACAATGTGTAGACTATAGCCTTCGACTGAACATCAACAATGACTGTAACACTGTCACCAGTGTAGACTGTATACTTACACTGAACATCAACACTGACTGTAACACTGTCACCAGTGTAGACTGTATACTTACACTGAACATCAACACTGACTGTAACACTGTCACCAGTGTAGACTGTATACTTACACTGAACATCAACACTGACTGTAACACTGTCACCAGTGTAGACTGTATACTTACACTGAACATCAACACTGACTGTAACACTGTCACCAGTGTAGACTATATACTTACACTGAACATCAACACTGACTGTAACACTGTCACCAGTGTATACTATATACTTACACTGAACATCAACACTGACTGTAACACTGTCACCAGTGTATACTATATACTTACACTGAATATCAACACTGACTGTAACACTGTCACCAGTGTAGACTATATACTTAATCTGAACATGAACACTGACTGTAACACTGTCACAAGTGTAGACTATATACTTACACTGAACATCAACACTGACTGTAACACTGTCACCAGTGTAGACTATATACTTACACTGAACATCAACACTGACTGTGACACTGTCACTACTCCCGTGTGTATTAGAAGGCTGACATCTGTAGGAGCCTGTCTTAGATCTGTCAGCTTGTCCTAGACTCAGAGTGGCTCCACTGCTGAAGACTGTTCCATTGTGTAACCACCTGTAGGTACAACCTGGTCTACAGAGGGCGGAGCACGTGATTGATGGAAGAGCATTGTGCTCTGTCACAGTGTAGGAGGAGGTGGAGGGGGTCAGGGAGATCTGGTAGGGCCCGTCTGGAATGGGCACATAGCTCTGTGACACTGATACCGTGATACAATATATAGTTATACCTATAATAACACACATGAGGAAAACAATGATGAGTTGATGATATTCAGAAAAAGCACTTTGACAACACATTATGTTTATAATAGCAGCATGTACATAAAAGAGCGATTGTTTAAACGTTCCGCGGTTTGGTGTGGCTATCGAAATATAATTGTTCAGCATGATATATACATACTCTGTTCATCATTTGTTCATGGTTATGACGTTTTGTGTCTGTTCACGACGACAGGCTGTGAGACAAAAAGCAACAGTATGGGGAAACTTGACAGCGGTCTGCTTCTGTATATATTTACAAAAAATCTAATTGTCCTATTAAACACACGTGGTGCTGGCAAATGGTCGAGCTCCCTTGGAGTCTGTGATTCAACTGAAATTCGGAAAGCATGAATTTGTGAATACTAAAATAATTTACTTTGATAGAGTTTTGCTTTCTGCAGTAAACTCCACCAATCCAAGGGCAGTCGAGTAGCCTAGTAGTCAAAGGGTTCGCTCGTCCTGACAAAGATCCGGGTTCGATTCCAAACATGGGTACAATGTGTGAAGCATTTCGTCGTGATATTGCTGGAATATTGCTAAAGGCGGCGTAAAACCATACTCACTCGCTCACTCCACCAATCCAAAGTTGATATATTAAGAATTCAATACCATCGACATAGAAAATACCTGAGGTTTGTTTTGTGTTTTTGATCACGAGGAAGATGCAAATAAGAAGCCCCACGCAATATGGCATATTAATTAAAATTTTAATGTGTATATATAGATTAGTATCGAGTCTATCCCCATAGATGCTATTTTCCTTACGAGAGTATTTCAAAACGAATCCATCGCACAGCATCGAGTTTGAAAGTGGTATCTAACGGGGAAGAGTTTTGCGACATATTTATAACTTAAACTTTGTAAATTCTAAGCTGAAAAGAAAACCCCCCTTGTATAAGGGTGACGTGTGAATATATATACAACTTTCACAGCTGATTATTCGATAATGGGCTCTTCTCTCAATGTGCAACCTGGAAATATATAGTGAAAGCTTTCTCCGAGATCGATTTTAAGAACTGATAAGATGCAGATTCTGTAATAACGCTAATAATAGCATCAACACTAACATCACCAAGTGAGAGACATCGGCAGTCATCAGGAAAATGTATCTGCAAAGTATCAATTTGGGTTATGTGTTTGTGAGGGGAGCCGGATACAGGATCGACGCACCAGTCATCACTTTTGTCATGTTGCCCATGCGATTGTACACGAGTCAGCAGGTAGTTTAGAAGTTAAGAGGTGAGGTGAAATGTGGTTTGACGTCTTGTCCAGGATTATTGCACAGAAAAAAATTAATACCATGAACAATACAACTGTTTGTTTATTTAAACGGTAATATCTCCGAAGGAAATATAATTAAATTATATGACTTAACATTGAACAAAACGTTACTTTATAAACATCTTCATAATAGCCTAACCTAAGGTACGACACATCAGGGAAAACATCTAGCCTGTGTAGGTGAGTCATGTCTTGTTGGCTAAGAGATTTCATAAAAGTGAGTCTGTACACTCTTTCGATGTATATATTATAAATATTCATTTATTTATTTATTTATTTATTTGGCAGCCCCTGGATACAAACAAAACTAGTGATATAACTCATCGCATTCAACTAGGTATTTCAACAATGCATCGAGTTTTGAGAGAAATGGGTTCAGTGTGGATGATTGTCTGATGTTCCTTGAACATCGGGTCTGTCGGGAGTAGAATATCAGTAGATCGGAGTAAGAGTAGAAGTAGTGTTAAGTTGCGCACAGTTACCGACGCCCCCATTCGAATAACCCGCTGATGACCATGAATAGACCGTAATGATTTTTGTAACAGTGGGTGAGTATCAAATTAATTTCGTAGATCCCTTAACCACCAATGGCATGCGAACAGCCAGAGAATACATCAATAGCTAATGTCACGGACACTCCCTTCCATTTCCTTTGAAACAAGTAGTTCTAAATATGGTTCTTTGTGTTTTATTATTGTATGTTTGGTAACCGTTCTTATTGGCAATTTACGACTGAACTTTACATGAATCAGTGACGTGTGGTTCACACTCACACTGAGGCTCCATGTTGTACCCCTGGCTCCACTCTGACTCCGGACCCTGACTCTCTCTCGCTCTACATCTGTAGTTGTGACTGTCCCGGGAACTCACTGTGAAGGTGTAGGGGGAACCAGGGGAGGTAACTGTGATGTCAGTGCTGTCACGCCGCCAGGTGTAGGTCAAGGTCAGACCATGGTCAACTGGGACAGTGGTAGAGGTGGAGCTGCAGGTCAAGGTCACTTGCTGGTTGTAGACAGGAGTTGTGGACACTGGACGGCCAGGAGTGGTGGGCTTGCCTTTCAAAAGAATTCATGTGTTAATATATATAATGACAATAGTGGCATGAGTGGTTGGATGAATGCTTAAGTGTGGCTTGGCCATGTTAGCAATTTTAACACCAGCTATGGATGGATAACAATCTTCATATAAACAAATTGTAATGAATCGTAATGAAGTCTTATAATCCACTCTTAAATATAAGCATTCGTGAGAAGGTTGCGTCTTCTACACATTTAACCATCTCATGAATCTAACAGAACTAGTGTGACGTCAACGACGATTGCCACATGCTCAACATTGATGTTGACCAAAGTTGTGACTAACTCATATGGTTATATACTTTCAAGAACAAAACAACGAGTCTTTAAAACGAATTATCATTGATTGACAAGATTACAATTCCTCGACTTCATCAGACACGATGTTGAGTTGGATCAAATCAACAGATAAGATACAATAACGATCTTTAATGTGCTTAAACCTTTTCTGTTGTGTGTTCAAATGTTGTGTCACGAGGGTTGAAATTGCGATCCTCATCAAGTATTGACACATGGTAACATGACATTAACCCAACAAAAGTTTAGATAATGTCTTTGAATGAATAAATAATATTCTTGCTCAACTGGACACATGTAACACTATGTTTCATACAGTTTTAATACATCTGTCTATCCTACCAGTACAAATAAATCAGTTTTAACTTCTTTTTTTCATTTTGTGCATATGTACATGCAACAAAACTCAAGAAATCTGTTTTTGAAGAAGTTAAATATCATTAGGACAGATTAGATTTTCCCTATGAGTATGTTAAATCTTGATTTATGTATTCATTTAAAGGCAGTGTTTCAGTAATGTCTTACAAATACATTATGCCCTTGCTTGCAGGCATGAACAGACTTATACTGGACATGCGTTACAGATATGGTTCGAGCAAGTGAAGCTGGCGAGTGTCATTATTTGTAATGGATGTCTAGTTACGCATGCATAATCGACTCTGCTTTATGCAGATATTTCTATTGGATATGGACAGGGTTATGTCACTTTATTTACATGACTCAAAATACAGGATCAACAAAATACTGTGTAATCAGATGCAAACTACAGCCTTAAAGTGACAATAGATCAATAAATAGAAGAAAAAAAGACAATAAAAATGTGTACATGTAAACCTTATCCGAATATTCGTAGTGCGCGCACTTGTATTTCCTGTGATTCAGTAGATTCTTAAAGTCCGTGTTTAGAATTAATGCATGAGTTCAACATTTGCCTTGCAGAAAGTAGGTCAGTAAACTGTCAGTTGGTTACAGATAATCAACAGTTAGAACAATGGAGTGACGTCATAGATGTATTTTAATTTGGGCTCCAAACCACCGTAGCGACTACATGCACTAGACAACTTTCCCGAAATCACGTAAACTCTTCTTTTATGAAAAAAAACCAAGTACAAACACAAAGAGGCACATTACGACCATGAACTCCCACCAATGTAAGCATTTACCCAAAGCGAATCCACAATAAGCAGGGTCTACAATTTCGGTTTAAAGTGTATTGGATCTTAAGGAAACAAAGTTCTGCAGACATTTATTTGTCATGGTGTTTTGCTTATAGCTTTGCCTAGGAATTGAACATGGTCCATGTAGAAGGACCCCAACTGCTGAATATGGCCAGAGCAGAATATCATACCACAGAGTCACCCATTATGTACCTTCTACATCATCCGACCAGATACCGCCTGTTCATACAAATATTGATTTGGTAATGGATAAAATACTGGTGGTTGATATAACTACGATCATTGAATACCTCCATAACTGATATTTTGAATTAATTTATAGAAATGCAACGTGAATGGGTTCCTAATTTTACACTGAACAAGTTAACATAATCAAATGACAACTGTACGGTTCACTATAATTAATCATAAGTTGATATTGTCAGTGTACTTGCTGCCACTAACAATATAGATACGAGGGTGTGATGAGGTAATGACAAGGTTGCAAAAGGACACACGTGTATTCTTTAGTTTCATAAGGGAACACATTCATATACATTATTCAGTTACTATAATGATTGCTTGCTCTGAATACACACAGGGTTTCAAAATCAATCAGTGAAGTAGATTTGATATTACAACATACATTTTCCTTAAGAACGTGGGCACGCACTAAATGCATAGGTAACCAAGTGACTGCTGGCGTTCGGCTCAGTACTCTCAAGAATGTTGTTTGTTTATTTACCTATCCGTTTGCTGTTTACCCTTGTCATCAATATATAAACAGTCTGTAATTAATTCGAGTCAGGATGCACTTCTCTGTCAGAATTGTGTCATCCAGGGGAGTTCGACTTTGTCAGCAGCACACATGTCTTGTGGATTTCTCAAGAGCGGTAACAGTTCAGAAAATGTCTTCCCACATGTATAGTGTCCATTCACTCATGACAATCACTTGGTTGCCCACAATGTTGGTTGGTTGGTTTGTTGTTTAACGCCGCACTCAGCAATGTTCCAACTATATGACGGCGGTCTGTAAATAATCGAGTCGGACCAGTCAATCCAGTGATTGATATCATGAACACCGATCCACGCAATTGGGATCGATGACATGCATCAACCAAGCCAGCGAGCCTGACCACCCGATCCCATTAGTCACCTTTTACGACAAGCATAGTCACCTTTTACGGCAAGCATGGGTTGCTGAAGACCTATTCTACCCCGGAATCTTCACGGGGTCGTTGCCCACAATGAGTGAGCTTGTGTTCGGGTGGGTGGTTTTTGTTTTGGTTAAACTACTTGTAACCATTTCTCTGTTTGGGGGTGAACAATGCGTTTTCAACAAGATTATATTTTGCTGTCACAAGTGACCCGTTTCAAAATATCATTACGTTTGTGAATATCCTCCTGATATTAACATCACATGTGTTGTACCAGTGTTGCCTTGCATGCAGGCGACATTCATCTACATTACAATCGTTTGTTACTTGCGACATCGAATATTATTTGAGTGAGTGTTGTTTTATTCCGCTTTTAGAAAACATCACGGCGGGGGATACCAGAAATGGGCTTCACACATTGCACCCATGTGGGTTATCGAAAGCGGACTTCAAGTTGGGGTTTTAACCATAAGGCTACCCCACCGTGCCTAATAGTAGAGACAAGGAATACAGGTATTGTCACAGAATAACAACTCTTACATTTTAAAAACCAAGTTGTCTATTTCATAATCAGGACACGCTCTGACAAAAGTCAAGTGATGAAAGGTTGCTTTTGTTTTCAAACTATCCTCGTGGTTGTATTTTTATTTAAAGGAGAATCATGAAACACATTTTTGTGCAACCTAGTATGTATCATAAGTAGGTTCTCATTAGCTGACATGAATTGAACAGTGTAGAACAAAGCAACAATGGAGGATATACTGTTACCCCGGTGTGACAACCGTCCTTATAACTGAGAGTTATATACCTAATTCATAAACACGGACGATTATGTTTACATTACATTCTTATTTCAGACACAACTTTATCTCTTCTCTGAATATGTATACGGAATATAAAGAGGACTAAACTATGTGTACGAAACGTCAACAAATCAAAACTAAGTAGCCACTCACCCAGGACAACAAGTTTCTGTCCACAGTTCTGTATCACAGTACCAGGTACTCCATCCCCACACGTGTATGTCCCTGCATCAGATGTCTGGATGTTGCTGAGGGTGAAGGTGACATTCCTGGCTGCTATGTTCCCCTGGTACACCAGTCTACCTGAGTAGTTGCCAAACACAACAGATGCCCCAGCAGCTGTCACTACAAACACAGGGACTCCAGCAGGACTGACAGTGTAGAAGCTGACATCTGACCCCAGACCTCCCTGTGGAATCTCCCAGCTGAACCTGGCTGTGTCAGACACTGCAGACAACACTGGACTGGCACTGGGGGCACCTGACACAACACCTGCCGGAAACGATATGTGGATATGTAGCATATAGCATGAGGTATGACCGTACATTACGTTAAGTAGAATATAATCTATTCATCTCAAGTATGTAGGGTAATATAAGTATATTGTAAGATACACAGTTATTACACATGTGGGTGATATAAAAGAATTACCTGCAATCACATATAATACAGCAGCAGTAGTTATCTTCATCATGCCTGTTGTCTGGTACCTTGAAGAGGACTGAAATATAGGTTCATCATTTTTCAGTAATTTGGATACTGATTTGATACATTTGGTATCTATGAGATATGCGTATGAGAAAAGGATCACGTTATTGTCTTACCAGCTGTCTATTTTTGTCTATGATGATATTGAGTATGATAATAGTTGTAAATGTGTTAGACGGTATGACAGTAAATACGCATTTCACACTGAACGCTGATGGATGATTTACATGAATATATGCGTATTAACTTCATAAACTTCAACACGATAGATTAATTTTTGATTATATTTTTAACTGTACTAACACAAACATTAATTAAAAGTGTGAGATACGCTCACATGACATATATTTTATATCACATACATATATGAACACACCATGGAAATCTTGACTCCGAACCCACGATCATTGGGTCCTTGCATGCCTAAGAAAGGCCGCCCCATGACTTAAGGAAAGACAACCATCCTGATGATATGAACACACATACTGGTACAAGGCATTAGTAAGAGGATCATTTTGAATATCATCAAAACTCTTTGCTTTTCCGTCAAATGAAACAAAAGGAATTCTGTCGCCTTAAAGAAATAACTATTTACAAAATTTTCACTGAGGCGAGGTTTATCTTATGCATGCTGTAAACAACTGGAAACTGTAAGTCTGATGTGACTGTCCATCTGTATGTCCTGCGTTCCCTTCGCCCTCGCGACTATTTCCATACTGGTGTGAACAGAGTAGAAGTTTAGTATTACGGACAAAGGGAGACGACTCTGCAAAGCCTTTAGACGACCCAGACAATCACATTCATATCAGTTGTGTTCAGGTTCTAGGTCGTACCTGTAAAGCTTTGTGTTTCAATTAACCCTCCACGTACACAGGTAACATGTATACACAAATAGAGGCCAGGTCAAAGTACACGAGTATGTAGAGATATTGTGGGTTACTCCCGGATGCGTTATGCCATGTATGTTCGACATGGTGATACAAATATACATAAACAAGTAAGGTGTCATGTGTTAAGGTTAGAAATGTATACTTTGCACATACCTGCTGAGGCTTCAGTTTGTCAGACAAAAATCGTTGCTACAGTCGTCGTGTGTGACCGGGTAGCTCAACACGGAAGTAATATACAAGGTCATGTTTACATGCTTATCGGTCGCTTTAAACTAGTTCAGTAGTGGCCGCTAAATATAGCCAAGTCAATCTCTGACATATGAATGCAGGCTTACTGTTACATACACGTGAGTGAGTGAGCGAAGGAGGGAGGGAGGGAGAGAGGGAAGGAGGGAGCGAGCGAGGTTTAACCCCGCTCAGAACAGTGTTTTGATTATTTCAGGGCCTGTCAATTTGTCAAGCCCGTAAGTAATATACAAATTCATGTTTACATGCACATCAGTCGCTTTAAACTAGTTCAGTAGTATCTAAATATAGCGGAGTCAATCTCTGTCATATGAATGCAGGTTTATTTAGAGTTTTAGAGTGAGTGAGTAACAGTTTGTTTAACGCTGCTTTAGACACAGTATCTATATTACATCATGGCATGTCAACTTTGATGTTTATGTTCGGTGAATCCCACGTGCTGACAAACCAAGAAACATAAACATGGATATCGATTCGGACCCACGATCGTTGTGTTCTGTCACGCCTATGTACGCCTCTATATACAGCGACTGGTGACTTGCACCCGCATCTGTCGAGATACTCAGTGGCGATGTATGGTATATGTGTATGACATGCCGTCGTTTAGTAATACAAACACAGTTCCGATTGAGTACAGCTCAGTTATTGCGTCAATATAGAAGTTCAGTATACTTCTATTTAATCACAGAAAAAATGCGAAAAGTTTATGAAAATAGAAATAACCTTTAATGTAACGCAAACGGTTCGAGACTCGTAACATGCTCTGTCAAAGCAACATACAATGGGAATCATATATATTTTACCAATAACTAATGAAATATATTATTGTTTTTTTTCTTGTGTTGTTAAATATCTTGGGTCTTAACTCAATCGATAGGTACCGACATGTGTTCAAGCATATGACGACGTTTTATTCGCATCAATGTGTTGATTTTTTAAACACCCTTCGACAGTGATTAGTTGTGCCATGTTGCAGCAGAATGAACCATTTAGCCACTGTTTATCATTAACAGGAAAGTTTTACTGATGCAGTGTTAAGTCCGTTACCCATGTTAAACAAATCTGTATAATGATGGTTCTCTCTTGTTCTATTTGGGATATCGCTTTCTGATCCCACAAGGACATTATTGCTATTTGAAGTATTATCATTATCTCTGTTATCCTTCGTTGTATATGGATGAAACATTGCCAGTGCGACGATGAAATGTAATTCACTTACAAACTCCTACCCTTGCATGAAAACACAGTTCTGGCCTAATCATTTACAAGCGATTGGGGGAAGTGGGGTAGCCTAGTGGTTAAAGCGTTGGCTCGTCACGCGGAAGACCCGGTTCGATTCCCCGCATGGGTACAATGTGTAACGACCATCTCCCTGTGTCCCTCCCCCCCCCCCGCGATATTGCTGAAATATTGCTAAAAGCGTAAAACCATGCTCACTAACTACAAGCGATTGCAGGTAGCCACAAAACCACAGTAAGGCGCATCCACTTGTTATTCATTTAATATTGGTAGCATATCACAAAACATTATTTACACGTGAAAATGAGTTGAACACATCACGAACCATGGAACAGAGCAAAGCGTGCGTGACGATTCATCGTTACTAGGTGTATGACTAATTACAGGTGTGAACAGGAACATGGAAGGGGTATGCCTGCAAATACATTTTACCATTGCATTCATGGGCTAATTAGTGCAATGATTACCATCAATCATATTTTTACTAGCTCGCACCAAATTACTTTGGCATTGTGGCAAATGTCAATTAATGATATATTTCAATTTCAGACAGTATTTTAATTTCACACGTAACGTTCTATTACATTATTATTAATTAGATAAATAAATGCAGCAAAGGGGGTTCACAGTCAGGCTGGTGAGGCTCATCATCAGCTCAGGACCCTTGCCCCCTCTACATGCAGCCCAGACAGCTCGGAAAAGCTGCCCATTCGAACCCACCAAGAACAGTTCGGAGAATGTGAAGACTCCCCAACACTGCAGCCTTCTGCATTACCAACATGGTCAGAAGGGCTGTATTCCTGGCAGCAACCCCGGGTAGTCTCCTAATGCCCGTCAACAGATAGGGAGGTACCAAACCTAAGGCCCCGAGAACAGTGAGGAGTCGGACAACTTGGGATGCAAGTGTGACATTTCGAAAGCGAGGTCCGCATATTTGTCATGTTTTTTCTTGAGTCTTGTCCTTCACATTAGTGTCAAAAGGGACAGAAAATGCTTCGACATATATATGATTCCATTGGGATTATCCAAAGGGACAAGATCAGGTTATTTGGCCTGGATAGGTCTGAGGCTGTGTAGGGGCCTATTCCAAAGAATTTAATATTTATCATTTTCCATGACGCCCTCTACATATTCTTGGTTGTATACAAGCATGGCGAATACGGTAATAAAAGGATCGAGCCACGCCACCAAGTCGCTTAAGAAACTGTTCCAATATGCCAATCATATGTGCAGCCACTCACCTGAACACATGTGAAACACCGCCAACAGCAAGGAACTCATTGACATGTAGTCTGACATGCTAATCGTATGTGCAGCCCCTCACCTATACACATGTGAAACACCGCCAACAGCAAGGAACTCCCTGACATGTAGTCCGGCATGCTAATCGTATGTGCAGCCACTCACCTGAACACACGTGTAGCTCCGCCAACAGCAAGGAACTCATTGACATGTAGTCTGACATGCTAATCGTATGTGCAGCCACTTTCCTGAACACATGTGTAGCACCGCCAACAGCAAAGAACTCATTGACATGTAGTCTGACATGCTAATCGTATGTGCAGCCACTCTCCTGAACACACGTGTAGCTCCGCCAACAGCAAGGAACTCATTGACATGTAGTCTGACATGCTAATCGTATGTGCAGCCACTCTCCTGAACACATGTGTAGCACCGCCAACAGCAAAGAACTCATTGCCATGTAGTCTGACATGCTAATCGTATGTGCAGCTGCTCACCTGAACACACGTGTAGCACCGCCAACAGCAAAGAACTCATTGACATGTAGTCTGACATGCTAATCGTATGTGCAGCTGCTCACCTGAACACACATGTAGCACCGCTAACAGCAAAGAACTCCCTGACATGTAGTCTGACATGCTAATCGTATGTGCAGCCACTCACCTGAACACACGTGTAGCACCGCCAACAGCATTGACTTGTAGTCTGAGAGTAATAAGATGATTCAGTTATAATTCAGGGTTGATAATTAAAAGCAACAAAAGTAATGTATAAATGTTATAAGTAATTATAGTAAAGTGACAAAGTAATTCTTAGAATGTAGATGCTGCTGTTCGTAACTAAATTGTATGAAACTATCTGTTGTAGGAGAGGCAAAAAATTCTGAGAAACTTGCGTTTGTATGTAATATATTCCTTTACTTTCCAGACGCAATATAATGTTAATAGAAACTATAACATGGCTGTGTGAGTCGTCCTCATACGTTTGTGTGACAGCAGAAGGAGACACACAAGAGTTTTATTATCCAACTTCAAAACAACCTTCGAGAAAATATGGTTTCTGTATTGAAACCTGTGTGTCCAATTTATGTGTCGATATATACATTGTGTTAACAGTCATGCATGGTATCATGTTGACAATAACGTCTGCACTGTCAACACCATTGTCCCGTTTACGTTATCAATGATGTATTGAGCGTGAAATCACGTGTTTGGATTGCTATGAACGTGCTAATTTTCAAAAATGACTGTTTCTAGCAAACCATAGTTTGTTTATGTTTACATGTCTCATACCAGATTGATGCAAGTGGTGTTTTACTGCATTCTCAGCAATAGGACTTCTCTGGGACATTATTATTATTGTCTGACTGTTCAAAGCGGCGTTAAAATCCCTATTTATACGTTGTCGATATATTCCTCATGGTACAGCTATTAGAGAATTTGTATTGGCAACTCACATTGAAAGCTTCCCGTTAGCTTCCTCACAACTTGGTACCTATTATTTAAATATCCTTTGTATCTATGAGTTGGGTATATACAGCAGATAGTGTACAATGTACATAAACCTACCGGTGACCCGCCTAAAAGTGATATAAGATATACAGTGTATATCCTGCCTGCAGCTTCCAGCAGTATATCAACAGACAACAGTATATCAACAGACAACAGTATATCAACAGACAAGCTATGTATCTATGAGTTGGGTATATACAGCAGACACTGTACAATATACATAAACCTATCGGTGACCCAGCAGTATATCAACAGACACCAATATATCAACAGACAGCAGTATATCAACAGACAGCAGTATATTAACAGACAGCAGTATATCAACAGACATCAGTATATCAACAGACAACAGTATATCAACAGACAACAGTATACCAACGGACAGCAGTATATCAACAGACAGCAGTATATCAACAGACAAGCTGAGTAGTATATGCGTCTGCAGATTGTGACCCAGTGTTGTAACAAAAGCACGTACCTGACATGCTATTTGGGGACTGTGCGCTGTAGTGTAGAATTTCACAGGAAGCCCTTGTTATATTACTTCCTGTTAGCAGTCATAACGCGATCAACCACAACAACCGTCGGTAGATAGAATGACATAAATTTGTTATTGTTACTGTGAGGATGTAATCGGACGCTGTGTAGTGTGTATGTGTATGTGTGTGTGTGTGTGTGTGTGTGTGTGTGTGTGTGTGTGAGTGTGAGTGTGTGTGTGTGTGTGTGTGTGTGTGTGAGTGTGTGTGTGTGTTTGTGTGTGTATGTGCCAAGTCACGTTCAGCATACAGATATCTATTTCTGATCTTTTCTTTCTGCTAATTAATTATTAATTGTAAATAATCATACATGTAACTATGGGGGAGGGCGTTCTAAGTTGTGATATCATGTGCGCAATTGTTTCCATATTACTAAAATATTTTTTACCTAAACCTACCACTTCACGAAATGTCCTGTCCCCAGATTTGCCTCACATAGTGTCAATCAGCATAAGAGTTTTCTTCAGGTTTCACAAGCTGACACTATTATTAAAATACAGCCCCTAACCCTGTAATAACTTAATTTCTGAACTCTGTTCTTGGAACCAAACACATTTTAACGTTTTACACGCTCGAGCATTACATTTTTTTGCACGTGTCCCTGACGGTGCTCCGTAGTCAACAGCTCGCCTCAACGCTCCAGTTCTGTTCAATGCATGCATATGTTCAGTGATGTTACTTAGTAGCCCATTTACCATGAAGACTGACCGGGTGTGGCTGTGCAGAATAAAACTGTTTTCTCGTGGCTTTCCCACAGTTTATTCATGAAAGTCGTCAGACACATGTCGTCAGACGCTAGGCAGCACAAGTACTGTTCTCCTTACGAAATAGACAGCTACCGTTCATCGTGCTTGTGAATGTTGCGTGTAACATTGACTGCAGCTGTTCAAGTAGTAGATTAATGCAACACCTGGTGTCTAATACCAGCATGTCTAATCAAATTTATCACTGTGAAAGTGAATGACATGACATTCTATTCAGTGCTTGATAAACACTAGTTTATCATACTGTAGTTCAATGAGAGAAACTACATATAATGTATGGACTACAAATATACACATTTTCGTTTATTGTTCGTATGAAGTCTGTATGAAGTAGTTTACAATCAAAGTAAGTGGATTTGAAAGAGAGCAGCACATACGTCATAGAGTGAGACCTGGGAATGTTTCCCTGCCTGGGTACAATGTGCGAGTCACTGATTTGTATCACGTCCCCCGCCAGTATATACCTACTCACTGATATCAGTCTTCTAAAGTTTGTCAGTGAGATCATCAATAAGAACGGCTTAATAATGTGTCAGCTGCATGCTAATGCAGACCTACAGAAGATAGGCACAACAGCTAATGTCTACCTTGTGCTTCACTGCTTGCTGCAGTGTATGAAACAGTGAACACTTATCATCCTGTTTGGAGTTCACTCAATGCCAACCACCAGTAGAGAGAATGACAGACTGTAAATGTTTTCATGAAGAGATATGGCTGTATGGGAGGGAGTGATTTAATGCCATATTCTCTGACATATATATCTGGAAATGTTATCGTGTGTCGGTTTTTGAACATCTGTTAACATTAGAGCAAACATTATAGCCCCATTGACCAGAAGAATAAGGAACATTACTCTGACACTATGGGATATAAAAGAAATACTGTTCAAAGCAGTGTTTCATCAAACTCGCTCATTCTACAGAAAGTTCTTTAACCAATGTTTATGTTGTCAGGGCCTTTCAAAAACAAGAAAATGTTACAAGGAACGAGTTGACTAATTAGGGAAAATGTCTTACCTTTAACGAATATTTCGGAAATATACCAGGCCAGTACATCATAAAAGTAGTTGGAAGTTGGTTGGTTCGTTTGTTGTTTTACGCCGCACTCAGCAATATTCCAGCTATACGACGGCGGTCTGTAAATAATCGAGTCTAGACCAGACAATCCAGGGTTTGATATCATGAGCATCGATCCACACAATCGGGATCGATGACATGCTTCAACCAAGTCAGCGAGTCTGACCACCCGATCCGTTAATCGCCTTTTACGAGAAACATAGTCGCCTTTTACGGCAAATATGAGTTGTTGAAGACCTATTCTACCCCGGATCTTCACGGGTCTTTTGGTGAATTAGTCTATGTTAAAGTCTCAGCCTAACTGTCTCGAAAGCAAATTTAACACTGTCTGATATTTGATTGTGTCTTATTTCTAAATGATGTTTAAAATAAACATGGACTGTATGTACTTGATATAGCCCAACACCAGTTGCCAATAGTAATAGTAATAGATACTTAGTTCCGTCATTAGGATCCGCTGGTAACAGAATTGTCCCTTAAAGTGCATGTGGGTTTCACCAAACTAGGAAGCTGAACTGTCACATTTCACTAAACAGACATACACACATATGATATTATTGCAATAGTGATCAAAGTGGAGTGGAACTCTCATTTAGATATTGCACCACCTGTCATATGTATCATGTCAGTGCATTGTGTAGACTCTAAGTGTGAGGTGTACACAGATAGGGTGGGAACAGGGAAATATGAGGTGCATACAGATTTACAAAGCATTACACTACTAGAGTATAGAGTATATTGAGTGCACGTCAATAACAGTAGTACAGCGGGTACGTCTCTGCCATATATAATGTTGCTTATCTCCTCTTGTAGGTTGTGAATGTAAAAAGAATTATCTGCAACTTCGTGATGCAGACACCGAGTATTTTAAATTATGCTTGGCAGGTTGATCGATTTTTCTCGACATAAGTGCATGTGTTTACACCTGTTTCACATATAGAGGCTTACAGCAAGTCATACACTTCTGTGGCGGTAGATATCAATTAGTACACACTTCCTGGTTGACAAGTTTTTACGCGTTCTATTATTCGGTCTTTCTTCGATTGCTCACGTAGCCAAACATGTTTTTGAAGAAAGATGAATGTAACTATATATATGCGATAGTAGTGAATGAGTGACTGTACACAGCGAGGTCTCGTGTCACACGTCGCCAACAATCCCTCAGTTAGGTATGTTCTCCCTGACCCACTGCATGCACCGCCAGTCAGAGACTGTCGTTGGTGTTTACGTTGAAGCTGACATTCAGAGTGGTCGTGACATACAGTGTCGATGGACTAGTTAGAAGTTAACAGGGTTTCATCATTGTGATCTAACCTCAACAATTCGACATCTAACCACTGACAACAGATGATGCATATGCATTGTCATTATGGATCTGGTATTCTCTGTTTTATTGTAGTTCGAACATTAACCTCTTTTGGGTGTGTTTCCTGAAAAGATATAATTATAACTCTAGGTTTAGTAAATTCTGTTTTAATGGCTTCAACGATACAAAAACTAATACAAGCATGTGTTTGCATCAAACTGAATAGACACTTTATTGGCAAGAATGACGAACGGTGGACATAATGTAAGCAATCACTTCATCTAGTTTTTCCTTTTACTCTGAGTACAACTGTTTTGGTAGAGGGAAGCTCGACTTTATAAATATTTTTTTCCCTTTTCTAAAATATATCCTACCTCTTCCTTACACATTAATCAGGAAAATGTAATACCATGGGTTAATGGATAAATTATAATTAATTTTCGGTATTCTCATACATCTTCAACTGTGAGTGATGTTGTTTGTGTGACTACCAAATATTCAGTATCGACTGCTGGGCTTGGTTGCCATCTGAAATGAAACAAAGTTGCAACCAAATGAGTATGCAACTAGAAGATGCGATTATCAAACACACCCAGAACTTAATAACTGGTTTACATACTTAAGGGTTTATATCCCATGATACCATATCTTCAAATATATAATTCCAGTTGTGTTTCTGTATCAAAACACATTTATACATAAAGCCGGGGTCATGGGAACATATATTCAGGGATAATGACGCCACGTGTATTGTTGTTAACATGATCTGGATCCTGGCACGCCAAAGGGACATAATCAAATTAATTGCGGCGATGTATACAACTGGTCCATTGTCAGGGGTCATTTCCAAATCGAGATATACAGAACTTGAAATCAGGAAATAGACACACAATATCAATGAATAATTAACAAATTATATTGACGCACACAATTTTAAGTTTCCAATCATAAATGGCAGAGCAATTGGTCAAATAAGGGGCAGTAGCAATTAGTAACAAAACGTATGATAAATGGCAATGCCCTCACGAATGTGCAGAATTTGTCACTAAATGTCTTTAAAAACACTCACGTGCGTCGTTCTTAAATCTGGAAACAGTAATGGTAGCTGGCAGGAAGTTGGAGTTCTCAGAAAGGTAGCCCGTCTGAACAAGCGCAACAGACGCAGGGGTGGTTGTAGAAGACCTCGAATCGCCCGCGTCTCACTCTTTTATAGGCAGAGCCGGCCTTCTGGAAACTGTCATATCACGAAGCCAATCGAACGACATAGTATGTTCTGTTTCTTTACTGCTACAATTTAGTGATCATATGGTTTACGGTTTTTGTAACACTTTATTTTAGCGCACTTTATCAAATAAAAATCACATTGTCTTTACGAATTAATGAATTACTCAGTACATTTTAAGCATAGGTTCACCCTGATATTTCACAGCTGATTGGTAGATACAGATATAAAGTTGTTTCTGGGTAACAGCATCATAAGAATTCCTACTGTGAGTACAAGCAAGCTTCCGAGTGCCTGTTGCAGTCCATGCTATTATTCCAGTCCATGCAGTTCCACTGTCTGGGGAATCGGCAGCATCTGAACGGATATAAACACATGTTTAAAAACAAGTAGCCACATGGCGATTCCTGTTCGTACTTATGCAATTTCACTTTCCTATAGTACTAATATTGTTCACGCCTGAATGAATTTATTTGTAATGAAAATGTATCAGTATTGATATGACAAAATCCACATGTTTATGAATTCATTATGGCAGTGTGGCTCGTGTCAAGAGGGATCATTTTCATCTGATATCTAGACGTCAGTCTTTCATGTTTTGTCATTCTTCAGTGAAACTGTTTTGTTGCTTTTGTTTAGCTATACACGGGGAAAAAGGATATTCTACCCCCCTTAAACGTTCCCATACGAAACGTAAATATGAAATGGAATAAGAAACAACTTGGTTTTAGTATCACAGATCAATATCCATAGTGTTTCTCTTCTATGTTGCAAGTAGACACATATAGATAATAACAAAACTAGTAATTTCAAAAGCGAGATAATTAGGTTGCCTTGATCCTACTTTAGTCACAAGTATACCTAGCAGCCTATATGACCAACATGACCATAGGCTGTATTTGTGGTATAGTTGCTGTGGTATAATTTGGTGATTATATTCTCGGGGCAAACATATCACTTCCACAACCATAACCCTGTCTGTATTCGGTATGTTGTGCAGTTCTTAAAGTAAACTGGACACGCTCAACCAGGAATGTCTGCAAGTGTTCTCCATGTCCAAGGTTGCCATGATCAACATTATGTTCGCATTGTCGAGAGTGGTAAACCGATGGTGTCTCAGCAGAACCTAGCAATCAAATGTACATCAATCAGATTAAACCATATGCTCGACATCATGAAAAGAAATATAGAAATAACATACATTCAAATAAAATCAAGCAAATATGTAATCAAGCAATGAATGCAACGAACTACTCAATTAAGTTAGAAAGCAACACAGTAGCTAATCAACCAACCAACCATTGAACAATAAAGAAGGAAACAAAATGAGGACTGAATGATTAATGTATGAGAATGAGTCAATGTATCTGAAAAACTTAAACAAAGAAACTACAACTATTTCATCTAAAAACATAATGATTCTGATTGGTGTATACTTACGATTACAAGTGAAATCTGTTATTTTCATTGGTAAAATGAATATCATCAAACATATGAGTAGTATGCTAATACCTATGAAACAAAATAACAAGACAAATTGCAAATATGTAAGTATTGACTTACTAAAATGCTGAGCTGTGAAAATTATCTCGCACTCACCTTCAGACACGATCCTGACTGTATAAAACAGTCCCCTGCCCACGCCATTGTCCACTGTTAACTGACAGTCCCCGAAGTCCTGCTGTTGGAGGTTAGTAAGGTGTAGTCTGGCAGTGGCTGAGATGTCTGAGACAGGGCTGGAGGAACCAGTGAGGTCCTGGCTGATGCTGGTGGTTCTACTCCAGATGAATGTAGGACGGGGGTAGGCCAGGACTGACACAGTCACATTCACGTTACCACCAAGTATAGCGCCATACTTGAGTTGGTGGGGCACTGTCTCATCAAGTCGGGGAGAACCTGATAAAATGAAACGAATTGTAAATATAAATATAAATGTGCGTGAGCTCAGTTGGCTAAATCATAATTTTCAAAACCTTAACACGCAGCAGTCCCACTGAATGAGCCCCATCTGTGTCTTTTACAAATGTAGAACATCCACGATCTGATATATCTGAGTTCGGTCATGCATGACAGGGGAAAAAGAAGTATGTCATGGTGGCCAACATCAAGTATAAGGAATTTACATTAACTATTTATGTTCCTATTAAAAGAAGGAAAAGGTTGTATTTAATTGCTACACAAAATAACATTTCCAGGGACTATTGCACCTGTTTGCAGGTTACCAGGTTTGTGTCATCTCCGAAACGGAGAACCTGCAACCTGAGGTAGATACGTTTACAAAATGTAACATTTGTGATATATATCCTATTAATCTATTTTCTATTTCTCTGTGAAATGTGGGAATAAGACATTAGGCAAGAAGTAAATGTAGTCATCCCCATTGGCACGAATTGTTCTCCCCTTCTTGGTGATCGGTTTCTTTTTGCATTTGAATCGGACTTTCTGCTCATTTTGAAAAGTTAAAAGTACGGCCAAGTATTTTAACTTAAACTTCATATTTATCAGAATCTTACATTGTTGAATAACGGTCAAATAGCCTGTTCACTGCCACTGATTTACCCACCTGGACTTGAAATACAAAACACCAGTGACACCGACTCATCTGTTTCATTCTTAGATATATGCATCAAGTTTCTGAGTGAAAAAAACATCTCCAATAGACTGCATAACAAGACGAATTAGTTCAACTTTCCCTTTATGTCGAGCGCAGAGAACGTCACACGACTCTTGCTCAAAAGTTGTTTGATCAGGGTCACAACTTTTAGGGCCTCAGTAAAGTTTTAAAAATAGTTTTATGGTAGACACATTTCCAAATTTGTGTCACAAGTGACCAGAATGAATTTGGATGCAATTCACTCATTTTTCCTTGTACCATACGTTCACGTGTCTTGTTGCGGTTTTTTTACACGTTCATGTTACCACCCACTCTAGAGGCGTACTTGAGTTGCTTGGCAACTGGCCCATCTATTCGAGAGGCACCTGGTTAAATGTAAACAACATATGTAATGACTCTGGAACAAATAATATCCGTTGAGGGCAAAATATTATGAAGACCAAATTTATCGATAATGTAGAATTATTCATCAGGACACTTTCGTTGATTTTTCAGCCGGGCAGTATCAACATAAGAGACATGATAACACAAATATACAAGCATACCGTAGGCCGGCCATTTACTCAAGGGTGTTATTATCATATACACAGTTGTGACATAAACCATCAATGGAAATCATCACAACACTACCAGCCGAAAATAATATCCAAACAGATTACATTTGACCAGCATCTCCAATCCTTGGCTGACAGGTGCCCCGATGTTGTTACTGGCAGTACAGGAGTAGTTCCCTCTTTGTCTACAGTCTGTTGACTCGAGTCTGTATTCTGATGTCAGGGAGTTATCTGCCCTTGTCAACTCCTCAGTTCCATTCAGTATCCTGATGACTGACCTTGGATTACTATCAACCTGGCATCTCAAGGTCACTGGATCCGACTCGTTAACAGTCACTGAACCACCGAGAGAGTTGGCAGTAAACATACTCACTGTGGCAGGATCTGAAATTATTACAGTGTGAAAATATATGGTTCGCTTTACAATTATGAAGTTAATGCACAACCAAGTATTTTTTACTTTACACTATGTTAAATGATTGTGATGTGTAGACTATATACTGACACAGAAAATCAATACTGACTGTAACACTGTCACCAGTGTAGACTATATACTTACACTGAACATCAACACTGACTGTAACACTGTCACCAGCGTAACTTACACTGAACATCAACCCTGACTGTAACACTGGCACCAGTGTAGACTATATACTTACACTGAACATCAACACTGACTGTAACACTGTCACCAGTGTAGACTATATACTTACACTGAACATCAACACTGACTGTAACACTGTCACCGGTGTAGACTACATACTTACACTGATCATCAACACTGACTGTAACACTGTCATCAGTGTAGACTATATACTTATTTAAAACATCAACACTGACTGTAACACTGTCACCAGTGTAGACTATATACTTACACTGAACATCAACACTGACTGTAACACTGTCACCGGTGTAGACTATATACTTACACTGAACATCAACACTGACTGTAACACTGTCACCAGTGTAGACTATATACTTACACTGAACATCAACACTGACTGTTACACTGTCACCAGTGTAGACTATATACTTACACTGAACATCAACACTGACTGTAACACTGTCACCAGTGTAGACTATATACTTACACCTGAACATCAACACCGACTGTAACACTGTCACCAGTGTAGACTATATACTTACACTGAACATCAACACTGACTGTAACACTGTCACCAGTGTAGACTATATACTTACACCTGAACATCAACACTGACTGTAACACTGTCATCAGTGTAGACTATATACTTACACTGAACATCAACACTGACTGTAACACTGTCACCGGTGTAGACTATATACTTACACTGAACATCAACACTGACTGTAACACTGTCACCAGTGTAGACTATATACTTACACTGAACATCAACACTGACTGTAACACTGCCACCAGTGTAGACTATATACTTACACTGAACATCAACACTGACTGTAACACTGTCACCGGTGTAGACTATATACTTACACCTGAACATCAACACTGACTGTAACACTGTCACCAATGTAGACTATATACTTACACTGAACATCAACACTGACTGTAACACTGTCACCAGTGTAGACTATATACTTACACTGAACATAGACACCGACTGTAACACTGTCACCAGTGTAGACTATATACTTACACTGAACATCAACACTGACTGTAACACTGTCACCAGTGTAGACTATATACTTACACTGAACATCAACACTGACTGTAACACTGTCACCAGTGTAGACTATATACTTACACTGAACATCAACACTGACTGTAACACTGTCACCAGTGTAGACTATATACTTACACCTGAACATCAACACTGACTGTAACACTGTCACCAGTGTAGACTATATACTTACACTGAACATCAACACTGACTGTAACACTGTCACCAGTGTAGACTATATACGTACACTGAACATCAACACTGACTGTAACACTGTCACCAGTGTAGACTATATACTTACACTGAACATAGACACCGACTGTAACACTGTCACCAGTGTAGACTATATACTTACACTGAACATCAACACTGACTGTAACACTGTCACCAGTGTAGACTATATACTTACACTGAACATCAACACTGACTGTAACACTGTCACCAGTGTAGACTATATACTTACACTGAACATCAACACTGACTGTAACACTGTCACCAGTGTAGACTATATACTTACACCTGAACATCAACACTGACTGTAACACTGTCACCAGTGTAGACTATATACTTACACTGAACATCAACACTGACTGTAACACTGTCACCGGTGTAGACTATATACTTACACTGAACATCAACACTGACTGTAACACTGTCACCAGTGTAGACTATATACTTACACTGAACATCAACACTGACTGTAACACTGCCACCAGTGTAGACTATATACTTACACTGAACATCAACACTGACTGTAACACTGTCACCAGTGTAGACTATATACTTACACCTGAACATCAACACTGACTGTAACACTGTCACCAATGTAGACTATATACTTACACTGAACATCAACACTGACTGTAACACTGTCACCAGTGTAGACTGTATAATTACACTGAACATCAACACTGACTGTAACACTGCCACCAGTGTAGACTATATACTTACACTGAACATCAACACTGACTGTAACACTGTCATCAGTGTAGACTATATACTTATTTAAAACATCAACACTGATTGTAACACTCTCACCAGTGTAGATTATATACTTACACTGGACATCAACACTGACTGTAACACTGTCACCAGTGTAGACTATATACTTACACTGAACATCAACACTGACTGTAACACTGTCACCGGTGTAGACTATATACTTACACTGAACATCAACACTGACTGTAACACTGTCACCAGTGTAGACTATATACTTACACTGAACATCAACACTGACTGTAACACTGTCACCAGTGTAGACTATATACTTACACTGAACATCAACACTGACTGTAACACTGTCACCAGTGTAGACTATATACTTACACTGAACATCAACACTGACTGTAACACTGTCACCAGTGTAGACTATATACTTACACTGAACATCAACACTGACTGTAACACTGTCATTAGTGTAGACTATATACTTACACTGAACATCAACACTGACTGTAACACTGACACTACTCCCGTGTGTATTAGAAGGCTGACATATGTAGGAGCCTGTCTTAGATCTGTCAGCTTGTCCCTGGAGTGTGGCTCCACTGCTGACAGTTGTTCCATAGTGTAACCACCTGTAGGTACATCCGGGTCTACAGAGGGCGTAGCACGTGATTAATGGAAGAGCCTGGTGTTCTGGCACAGTGTAGGAGGAGGTGGAGGGGGTCAGGGAGATCTGGTAGGGCCCGTCTGGAATACATGCCACTGTGACACTGATACCGTGATACAATATATAATTATACCTCTAACAACACACACGAGGAAAACAATGATGAGTTGATGATATTCAGAAAACGCACTTTGAAAACTGTATGACAACACATTATGTTTTTAATAGGAGCATGTACATAAACGAGCGATTGTTTAAACGATCCACGGTTTGGTGTGGCTATCGAAATATAATTGCTCAGCATGATAAATACATACACTGTTCATCATTTGTTCATGGTTATGACGTTTTGTGTCTGTTCACGACGACAGGCTGTGAGACAAAATTAAACAGTATGGGGAAACTTGACAGCGGTCTGCTTCTGTAAATATTTGCAAAAAATCTAATTATCTAATTAAACACACGTGGTGCTGGCAAATGGTCAATCCCCCTGCTATTTTCCTTACGAGTGTGTTTCAAAACGAATCCATCGCGCAGCATCGAGTTTGAAAGTGGTATCTAACGTGGAAGAGTTTTGCGACATATTTATAACTTAAACTTTGTAAATTCTGAGTTAAAAGAAAACGTCCCTGGTATAAGGGTGCCGTGTGAATATATATGCAACCTTCGTAGCTGATGATTCGATAATGGGCTCTCGAAGTGCAACCTGGAAATATATAGTTCGAAGCTTTCTCCGAGATCGATTGTAAGAAATGATAAGATCCCGATTCTGTAATAACGTTAATAATATCATTAACATTAACATCACCAAGTGAGATACATTGGCAGTCAACGGGAAAATGTAGCCTCATTGTATCAAACTCGGTTATGTGTATGCGAGAGGAGGGCCGGAGACACGATCGACGCGTCAGTTAGTCACGTTTGTCATGTTGCCCATGCGATTTTACACAAGTCAGCAGGTAGTTTATGAGGTGAGGTGAAATGTTGTTTGCGTCGTGTCCAGGACTATAACAGTTATAAAACGACGTGCATGCACGTGTGTCTGTGTGTGTCTGGCTGATTGTACTTGTCCGGACTAATGCCGAGTGTGTTGTGCTGGTCAACTGAGATGGAGCACTCAGACACAGTATACTGGCCCTGAGCCGACCAGTCCTTGTTGAATGCCGAGCGCCTGGCAGGGTACTGTTTTTTAATGTATTTTTGTGTGACGCGACCGGGAACCGAACCCACAGTCTTCCGATCTCCGGCGGACGTTTTGTCCACTGGACCACAGAAGCGATATTTTTAGCAATGGAATTGATTGTAATTATTGTTTGGCATCACAAAAAAACGGTGCACTAAGACAGGGGATTGCATCGGTTGACATTTCTAGCTGTCCATTTTGTCCTTAGGGGCTACTCTTATTTGCAAAATGAAGTTGAAAGAAGTAAGTATGATGAATGTTGTGTTGATGGTTCGATATAACGTATTTTTTATTAGTGATGCTCTGAAGCGTTATGCTGCAACAACAATACTTGTAATACTGCAATAACAAGTACATGCAATAGATCACAGGCGACTGAAACATCCAACCGACAAATTCAAATATATATGTAAACAATGCAGCGAATTTTGAGATGAATGCACTGAATGCCTTGTTTCGTGAATGTTAATAGTTCCTTTCTTGAGTAGGTTATGGTCTGAATGTAGAGTAAACATTGTGTACGCTATCCCAACGATCAGCCGATGACTACAAATAGCCCGGACATGGTGTTTTAATACCACGAGCAATACAACTATTTGTTTATTTAAACGGTAATATCTCCGAAGGGTATATAATTAGTATATATAACTTAACATTGAACAAAATGTTACTTTATAAATATCTTCATAATAGCCTAACCCAAGGTACGACACATCAGGGGAAACATCTAGCCTGTGTAGGTGAGGGGAGTCATGTCTTGTTGGCTATAACATTTCATAAAAGTGAGTCTGTACACTCTTTCGAGGTATATACTACATATATTCATATATCTATTTATTTGGGAGCCCTTCGATATAAACAAACTAGTGAAATAACTCATCGCATTCAACTATTTATTTCAACAATTCAGTGAGTGATGAGAGTAAAGTGTTTAGTGTGGACGACTGTTTGAGTTAGTAGTAGATCAGAGTAAGAGTAGCAGAAGTGTACAGTTTCACAGTGTTACCGACGCCTCCATTCGAATAAACCGCTGATGACAAGGAGTAGACCAATCATGAATTTGTAACAGTGGGTGAGTAACAAATTAATTTAGTAGATCCCTTAACTACCAACGGCATGCGAACAGCCAGACAATATATCAATAGCTAATGTCACTGACCCTCCCTATCCGTTTCGTCGATGAAAGTAGTTCTAAATGTAGTTATTTGTATTTTATTATTGTATGTTTTGTAACTGTTCATATTGACAATTGATGATTGAACCTTACCGAAATCAGTAGTGTGAGACATTTATAAGTAACGTGTTTACAGTACTTACACTGAGGCTCCATGTTGTACCCCTGGCTCCAATCTGACTCCGGACCCTGACTTTCTCTGGCTCTACATCTGTAGCTGTGACTGTCCCGGAAACTCACTGTGAAGATGTAGGGGGAACCAGGGGAGGTAACTGTGATGTCAGTGTTGTCACGCTGCCAGGTGTAGGTCAAGGTCAGACCATAGTCAGCTGGGACAGAGGTAGAGGTGGAGCTACAGGTCAAGGTCACTTGCTGGTTGTAGACAGGAGTTGTGGACACTGGACGGCCAGGAGTGGTTGGCTTGCCTTTCAAAAGACTTCATGTGTAAAATTAGGAGCTTGTACATGTATGCAGCTTAATATCTCTCTCTCTCTCTCTCTCTCTCTCTCTCTCTCTCTCTCTCTCTCTCTCTCTCTCTCTCTATATATATATATATATATATATATATATGTTTATATATATATATATATATATATCTATATATCTATATATATAAATATATATATATATATAATGAACCGCAATGAAGTCTTATCATCCACTCTTAAAGATAAGCATTCGTGAGAAGGTTGCGTCTTTTACACATTTAACCATCTCATGAATCTAACAGAACTAGTGTGACGTCAACGACGATGGCTACATGCTCAACATTGATGTTGACCAACGTTATGACTAACTCATATGGTTATATACTTTCAAGAACAAAATAACGAGTCTTTAGAACGAATTATCATTGATTGACAAGATTACAATTCCTCGACTTCATCAGACACGATGTTGAGTTGGATCAAATCAGCAGATAAGATACAATAACGATCTTTAATGTGCCTTGAAAACCTTTTCTGTTGTGTGTTCAAATGTTGTGCCATGAGGGTTGAAATTGTGATCCTCATCAAGTACTGAGGTAACATGACATTAACCCAACAAAAGTTTAGATAATGTCTTTGAATTAATAAATAATATTCTTGCTCAACTGGACACATGTAACATAAAGTTTTATACAGTTTTAATCAGCTGTCTATCCTACCAGTACAAATAAATCAGTTTTAACTTCTTTTATTCATTTTCTGCATATGTACGTGCAACAAACATCAAGAAATCTGTATTTGAAGAAGTTAAACATCATTAGGACAGATTAGATTTTCCCAATCAGCATGTAAAGTCTTAATTTATGTAATCATTCAAAGGCAGTGTTTCAGTAATGTCTTATCAATACATCGTGCCCTTGTTTGCAGGCATGAACAGAATTATACTTGGCATGCGTTACAGCTATAGTTCGAGGAAGTGAAGCTAGTGAATGTCATTATTTGTAATGGATGTCTAGTTATGCCTGCATAATCGACTCTGCTTTATGCAGCTATTTCTATTGGATATGGAAAGGGTTTTGTCGCTTTATTTACTCAATTTATGACTCAAAATACAGGATCAACAAACTACTGTGTAATGAGATGCGAAATACAGTCTTAAAGTGACAATAGGTCCATAAATAGAAGAAAAAATTACTATAAAAATGTGTATATGTAAACCTTATACGAATATTCGTAGTGCGCGCACTTGTATTTCCTGTGATTCAGTAGATTTTTAAAGCCCGTGTTTAGAATTAATGCATAAGCTCAACATTCAACTGTCAATTGGTTACAGATATTCAACAGTTAGAACAGTGGAGTGACGTCATAGATGTATTTTAATTTGGGCTCCAAACCACCGTAGCGACTATATGCACTAGACAACTTTCCCGAATTCACGTCAACTCTTCTTTTATGAAAAAAATACCAAGTACAAACACAAAGAGGCACATTACGACCATGAACTCTTACCAATGTAAGCATTTACCCAAAGCGAGTCCACAATAAGCAGGGTCTACAATTTCGGTTTAAAGTGTATTGGATCTTAAGGGAACAAAGTTCTGCAGACATTTATTTGTTATGGTGTTTTGCTTATAGCTATGCCTAAGAATTGAACATGGTCCATGTAGAAGGACCCCAACTGCTGAATATGGCCGGAGTAGAATATCATAGAGTCACCCATTATGTACCTTCTACATCATCCGACCAGATACCGCCCGTTCATACAAATATATATTTCGTAATGGATAAAATACTGGTGGTTGATATAACTACGATCATTGAATACCTCCATAACTGATATTTTGAATTAATTTAAAGAAATGCGACGTGAATTGATTCCTAATTTTACACTGAACAAGTTAACATAATCAAATGAAAACTGTACGGTTCACTATAATTAATCATAAGTTGATATTGTCATTGTACATGCTGCCTCTAACAATATAGATACGAGGTTGTGATGAGGTAATGACAATGTTGCAAAAGGACACACGTGTATTCTTTAGTTTCATAAGGAAACACATTCATATACATTATTCAGTTACTATAATGATTGCTTGCTCTGAATACACTCGGGTTTTGAAAATCAATCCGTAAAATAGATTCGATATTACCACTCATGATATCACAACATACATTTTCCTTGAGAACGTGACCATGCACTAAATGCATAGGTAACCAAGTGACTGCTGGCGTTCGGCTCAGTACTCTCAAGAATGTTGTTTGTTTATTTACCTATCCGTTTGCTGTTTACCCCTGTCATCAATATATAAACAGTCTGTAATTAATTCGAGTCAGGATGCACTTCTCTGTCAGAATCGTGTCATCTAAGCGAGTTAGACTTTGTCAGCAGCACATGTGTCGTTTAGATTTCTCAAGAGTGGTAACAGTTCAGAAAATGTCCTCCCACATTTATAGTGTTCACTCACTCATGACAATCACTTGGTTACCGTTAATGGGTAAGCCTGTGGATGAGATCGGGTGGGTGGTTTTTGTTTGGGTTTAACGACTTGTGACCATTTCTCTTTTTTGGGGTGAACGATGCGTTTTCAACCAGATTATATTTTGCTGTTTCAAGTGATCCGTTTCAAAATATCATTACGTTTGTAAATATCCTCCTGACATTAGCATCACATGTGTTTTACCAGTGTTGCCTTGCATGCAGGCGACATTCATCTACATTACAATCGTTTGTTACCTGCGACATCTAATATTATTTGAGTGAGTGTTGTTTTATTCCGCTTTGGGCACATATCACGGCGGGGGATACCTGAATGGGCTTCACACATTGCACCCATGTGGGTTATCGAAACCGGACTTCAAGTGGGGGTTTTAACCATAAGGCTACCCCACTGTGCCCAATAGTAGAGACAAGGAATACAGGTATTGTCACAGAATAACAACTCTTACATTTTAAAAACCAAGTTGTCTATTTCATAATCAGGACACGCTCTGACAACAGTCAAGTGATGAAAGGTTGCTTTTGTTTTCAAACTATCCTCGTGGTTGTATTTTTATTTAAAGGAGAATCATGAAACACATTTTTGTGCAACCTAGTATGTATCATAAGTAGGTTCTCATTAGCTGACATGAATTGAACAGTGTAGAACAAAGCACCAATGGAGGATATACTGTTACCCCCGTGTGACAGCCGTCCTTATAACTGAGAGATTCTATACCTAATTCATACACACGGACGGTTATGTTTACATTACATTCTTATTTAAGACACACGTTTATTTTTTATTTGAATATGTATATGCAATATAAAGAGGACTAAACTATGTGTACGAAACGTCAACAAATCAAAACTAAGTAGCCACTCACCCAGGACAACAAGCTTCTGTCCACAGTTCTGTATCACAGCACTAGCCTGTCCATTCCCACACGTGTATGTCCCTGCATCAGATGTCTGGATGTTGCTGAGGCTGAAGGTGACATTCCTGGCTGCTCTGTTCCCCTGGTACACCAGTCTGTCTCTGTAGTCGGGGAGTGGGTTGAACGTCCCGTCACTAAACACTATAAACACTGCAGCACCAGCAGGACTGACAGTGTAGAAACTGACACCTGTCCCCAGACCTCCCTGTGGAATGTCCCAGCTGAACCTTGCTGTGTCAGACACTGGAGACAACACTGGAGTGGCACTGGGGGCACCTGACACAACACCTGCAGGAAGAAGATATGTGGATATGTAGCATATAGCATGAGGTTTGAACGTACAATACGCCAAGTCGTCATGTTCTGTGTGACATGTTGTTATGATTAAACAAGAATATATTCCTTTTATCTCAAATATGCCGGGTAATATTATGATATAAATAAGTAAAATATACTGTCATAACACATGTGGGTGACACTAAATTGTTACCTGCAATCACATATAATATAATTGTAGCAGCTATTTTCATCATGCTTGTTGTCTGGTACCTTGGTGAGACCTGAAATAATATATCAGTCATTTGGATGCTGATTGATACATTTGGTATCAAAGAGATATGCATGTGAGAGAAAGATCACATTACTGTCTTATCAGCTGTCTGATATCGACTATGTAGTGATGAAAGTATGTGTGTGATAATGTCCTTTATGTGTTAGACGGTGTGACAGTAAACACGCATTTCACACTGAACGCTGATGGATGATTTAGATGAATATTAGCGTATTAACTTCATAAACTTAAACACGATAGAATAATTTGTGATCATATTGTCAACTGTACTTAAACCAACATTAATTAAAAGTGTGATATACGCTCACATGACAAATGTTTCATTTCACATACATATATGAACACACCATGGGAATCTTGACTCCGAAGCCACGATCATTGGATCCTGGCATGCCAAAGAAAGGCGGTCCCATGACTGAAGGAAAGACAACCATCCTGATAATATGAACATACATACTGGTACAAGGCATCAGTAAGAGGATAATTTTGAATATCATCAAAACTATCTGCTTTCCGACGTTAAATGAAACAATAGGAATTCTGTCGCCTTAAAGAAATAAAGTAACTATTTACAAAATTTCCACTTAGGGGAGATTTGTCCTGTACATGCTGTAAACATCAACAACTGGAAACTGTAAGTCTGATGTCACTGTCCATCTGTATGTCCTGCGTTCCCATCGCACTCGCGCATATTTCCATACTGGTGTGAACGGATTAGAAGTTTAGTATTACGGACAAAGGGGAAAGACTCTGCATTGCCTTTAGACGACCTAGACAATCCTGTACCTGTAAAGCTTTGTGTTTTAATTAACCCTCCACGTACAGATAGCTGACACACTGGTAACATTTATACACAAATAGAGGCCAGGTCAAAGTACACGAGTCTATAGAGATATTGCAGGTTACTCCCAGATACGTTATGCCATGTATGTTCGACATGGTGCTACAAATATACATAAACAAATAAGGTGTCATGTGATGAGGTTAGAAATGAATACTTTACACATACCTGATGAGGCCTCAGTTTGTCAGACATACATCGTTGCTACAGTCGTCGTGTGTGACCGGGTAGCTCAACACGGAAGTAATATAAAAGGTCGTGTTTACATGCTTATCAGTCGCTTTAAACTAGTTCAGTAGTGGCTAAATATAGCGGTGTCAATCTCTGGCATATGAATGCAGGTTTATTGAGAGTTTTAGAGTGAGTGAGTAACAGTTTGTTTAACGCCGTGTTAGACACAGTATTTGTATTACATAATGGCATGTCAACTTTGATGTTTATTTCTTCGGTGAATCCCACGTGCTGACAAACCAAAAAACATAAACACAGATATCGATTCTGACCCACGATCGTTGTGTTCTGTCACGCCTATGTACGCCTCTATATATAGTGAGTGGTGACTTGCACCCTCATCTGTCTAGATACTCAGTGGCGATGTATGGTAAATGTGTATGACATGCCGTCGTTTAGTAATACAAACACAGTTCCGATTGAGTACAGCTCAGTTATTGCGTCAATATAGAAGTTCAGTATACTTCTATTTAATCACAGAAAAAATAGAAAAGTTTATGAAAATAGAAATAACCTTTAATGATCAGTAACGCAAACGGTTCGAGACTCGTAACATGCTCTGTCAAAGCAACATACAACATGGGAATCATATATATTTTACCAATAACTAATGAAATTATATATTATTGTCTATTTTCTTGTGTTGTTAAATATATTGGGTCTAAACATAGATAGGTACCGACATGTGTTCAAGCATTTGACAGCGTTATATTCGCATTAATGTGTTCAATGGCAGCAACGAACAATATTGTTGATTTTTTAAACACCCTTCGACAGTGACTAGTTGTGCTATGTTGAGGCTTTGACAGAATGAACCATTCAGCCACTGTTTATTATTAACAGGAAAGTTTTACTGATGCAGTGTTAAGTCTGTTATCCATGTTAAACAAATCTGTATAATGATGGTTCTCTCTTGTTCTATTTGGGATATCCCTTTTTGATCCCACCAGTGCATTATTGCTATTTGAAGTATTATCATTATCTCTGTTCTCCTTCGTTGTATACGGATGAAACATTGCCGGGGCGACAATGAAATGTAATTCACTCACTCACTCCTACCCTTGCATGAAAACACAGTTCCCCGCATTGGTACAATGTGTGACGCCCATTTCCCTGTGTCCCCCACCGCGATATTGCTGAAATATTGCTAAAAGCGTAAAACCATGCTCACTAACAACAAGCAATTGTAGGTAGCCACAAAACCACAGTAAGGCACATCCACGTGTTATTCATTTAATATTGGTAGCATATCACAAAACATTAGTTGCACATGAAAATGAGTTGAACTCATCACGAACCATGGAACAGAGCAAAGCGTGCGTGACGATTCATCGTTACTAGGTGTATAACTTCTTTCAGGTGTGAACATGAACATGGAAGGGGTATGCCTGCATATACATTTTACCATTGGATTCATGGGCTAATAGGTGCAATGATTACCATCAATCATACTTTTACTAGCTCGCACCAAATTACTTTGACATTGTGGCAAATGTCAATTAATGATATATTTCAATTTCAGACAGTATTTTAATTTCACACGTAACGTTCTATTACATTATTATTAATTAAATAAATAAATGCAGTGAAGAGGGTTCACAGTCAGGCTGGTTAGGCTCATCATCAGCTCAGGACCCTTGCCCCCTCTACATGCAGCCCAGACAGCTCGGAAAAGCTGCCCATTCGAACCCACCCAGAACAGTTCGGAGAATGTGAAGACTCCACAACACTGCAGCCTTCTGCATTACCAACATGGTCAGAAGGGCTGTATTCCTGGAAGCAACCCCGGGTAGTCTCCTAATGCCAGTCAACAGATAGGGAGGTACCAAACCTCAGGCCCCGAGAACAGTGGGGAGTCGGACAACTTGGTACTTGGGATGCAAGTGTGACATTTCGAAAGCGAGGTCCGAAAATTTGTCATTTTTGTTCCTAAATCTTGTCAGTCTCATTAGTGTCAAAAGGGACAGAAAATGCATCGACATATATATGATTCCATTGGGATTATCCAAAGGGACAAGATCAGGTTATTTGGCCTGGATAGGTCTGAGGCTGTGTAGGGGCCTATTCCAAAGAATTTAATATTTATCATTTTCCATGACGCCCTCTACATATTCTTGGTTGTACCATGGATGAACCTCTGTGTCAAAACCACAAGCATGGCGAATACGAATAAAAGGATCGAGCCAAGCCACCAAGTCGCTTAAGGAACTGTTTCAATATGCCAATCATATGTGCAGCCGCTCACCTGAACACACGTGTAGCACCGCCAACAGGAAGGAACTCATTGACATGTAGTCTGACATGCTAATTGTATGTGCAGCCACTCACCTGAACACATCTGTAGCACCGCCAACAGCAAGGAACTCATTGCTATGTAGTCTGACATGCTAATCGAATGTGCAGTCGCTCACCTGAACACACGTGTAGCACCGCCAACAGCAAGGAACTCATTGACATGTAGTCTGACATGCTCATCGTATGTGCAGCCACTCTCCTGAACACACGTGTAGCACCGCCAACAGCAAGGAACTCATTGACATGTAGTCTGACATGCTCATCGTATGTGCAGCCACTCTCCTGAACACACGTGTAACACCGCCAACAGCAAGGAACTCATCGCCATGTAGTCTGACATGCTAATCGTATGTGCAGCCGCTCACCTGAACACACGTGTAGCACCGCCAACAGCAAGGAACTCATTGACATGTATTCTGACATGCTAATCGTATGTGCAGCCACTCTCCTGAACACACGTGTAGCAGCGCCAACAGCAAGGAACTCATTGCTATGTAGTCTGACATGCTAATCGTATGTGCAGCCACTCACCTGAACACACGTGTAGCACCGCCAACAGCAAGGAACTCATTGACATGTAGTCTGACATGCTAATTGTATGTGCAGCCACTCACCTGAACACACGTGTAGCACCGCCATAAGCAAGGATCTCATTGATATGTAGTCTGACATGCTAATTGTATGTGCAGCCACTCACCTGAACACACGTGTAGCACCGCCAACAGCAAGGAACTCATTGACATGTAGTCTGACATGCTAATTGTATGTGCAGCCACTCACCTGAACACACGTGTAGCACCGCCAACAGCAAGGAACTCATTGACATGTAGTCTGACATGCTAATCGTATGTGCAGCCACTCACCTGAACACACGTGCAGAACCGCCATAAGCAAGGATCTCATTGATATGTAGTCTGACATGCTAATTGTATGTGCAGCCACTCACCTGAACACACGTGTAGCACCGCCAACAGCAAGGAACTCATTGACATGTAGTCTGACATGCTAATTGTATGTGCAGCCACTCACCTGAACACACGTGTAGCACCGCCAACAGCAAGGAACTCATTGACATGTAGTCTGACATGCTAATCGTATGTGCAGCCACTCACCTGAACACACGTGCAGAACCGCCATAAGCAAGGAACTCATTGCTATGTAGTCTGACATGTTAATCGTATGTGCAGCCACTCACCTGAACACACGTATAGCACCGCCAACAGCAAGGAACTCATTGACATGTAGTCTGACATGCTAATTGTATGTGCAGCCACTCACCTGAACACACGTGTAGCACCGCCAACAGCAAGGAACTCATTGACATGTAGTCTGACATGCTAATTGTATGTGCAGCCACTCACCTGAACACACGTGTAGCACCGCCAACAGCAAGGAACTCATTGACATGTAGTCTGACATGCTAATCGTATGTGCAGCCACTCCCCTGAACACATGGATAGCACCACCAACAGCATTGACATGTAGTCTAAGATGATTCAGTTATAATTCAGGGGATGGTTGATAATCAAAAGCAACAAAAGTAATGAGTATATGTGATAAGTAAATGTAGTAAAGCGACAAAGTAACTATTAGTATGTAGATGCTGCTGTTCGTAACTAAATTGTATGAAACTATCTGTTACAGGAGAGGCAAATAATTCTGAGAAACTTGCGTTTGTATGTAATATACTCCTTTACTTTCCAGACGCAATATCATGTTAGTAGAAACTATAACATGTCTGTGTGAGTCGTCCTCATACGTTTGGAGGAGGAGACACACAAGAGTTTTATTATCCAACTTCAAAACAACCTTGGAGAAAATATGGTTTCTGTATTGAAACCTGTGTGTCCAATTTATGTGTCGATATGTACATTGTGTTAACAGTCATGCATGGTATCATGTCGACAATAACGTCTGCACTGTCAACACTATTGTCCGGGTTACGTTATCAGTGATGTATTGAGCGTGAAATCACGTGTTTGGATTGCTATGAACGTTCTAATCTTGAACCTTTTAGATAAAAATGACTGTTTCCAGCAAACCATAGTTTGTTTATGTTTACATGTCTCATACCAGATTTATTCAAGTGGTGTTTTACTGCATTCTCGGCTATAGTACTTCTCTATGACATAAATAGGAATTATTATTGTCTGACTGTTCAAAGCGGCGTTAAAATCCCTATTTATACGTTGTCGATGTATTCCTCATAGTACGGCTATTGGAGAATTTGTATTGGCAGCTCACATTGAAAGCTCCCGGTTACCTTCCTCACACCTTGGTACCTATTATTTAAATATCCTATGTATCTATAAGTTGGGTATATACAGCAGATACTGTACGCTGTACATTAACCTATCGGTGACCAACATAAAAGTGATACAAGATATACAGTGTATATCCTGCCTGCAGCTTCCAGCAGTATATCAACAGACAACAGTACATCAACAGACAACAGTATATCAACAGACAAGCTATGTATCTATGAGTTTCGTATATACAACAGATACTGTACAATGTACATAAACCTATCGGTGACCCGCATAACAGTGATATAAGATATACAGTGTATGTCCTGCCTGCAGTTTCCAGCAGTATATCAACAGACAAGCTATGTATCTATGAGTTTCGTATATACAACAGATACTGTACAATGTACATAATCCTATCGGTGACCCGCATAACAGTGATATAAGATATACAGTGTATATCCTGCCTGCAGTTTCCAGCAGTATATCAACAGACAACAGTATATCAACAGACAACAGTATATCAACAGACAACAGTATATCAACAAACAACAGTATATCAACAGACATCAGTATATCAACAGACAGCAGTATATCAACAGACAACAGTATATCAACAGACAGCAGTATATCAACAGACAGTAGTATATCAACAGACAGCAGTATATCAACAGACAAGCTGAGTAGTATATGCGTCTGAAGATTGTGACCCAGCGTTATAACAAAAACACGTACCTGACATGTCACTGGGGGACTGTGTGCTGTAGTGTTTGAATTGCACAAGTAGCCACTTGTTATATTACTTCCTCTTCGCAGTCGTAACGCGATCAACCACAACAACCGTCGGTAGATAGAAAAACATAAATTTGTTATCGTTACTGTGAGGATGTAATCGGACGCTGTGTAGTGTGTGTGTGTGTGTGTGTGTCTGTGTATGTGTGTCTCTGTGTGTGTGTGTTTGTGTGTGTATGTGCCAAGTCACGTTCAGCATACAGATATCTATTTCTGATCTTTTCTTTCTGCTATTTAATGTATTAATTGTAAATAATCATACATGTAACTATGGGAAAGGGCGTTCTAAGTTGTGCGCAATTCTTTCGAGATGAATAAAATATGTTTAACCTAAACCTACCACTTGTCGAAATGTCCTGTCCCCAGATTTGCCAGTATAGTGTCAATCAGCATTAGAGTTTCCTTCAGGTTTCACAAGCTGACACTATTATTAAAATACAGCCCCTAACCCTGTAATAACTAAATTTGTTAACGCCGGCCTTGGAACCAAACACATTATAACGTTTGACACGCTCGAGCTCACACAATAAAAATATTGTGTTCGTGTCCCTGATGGTGCTCCGTAGTTAACAGCTCGCCTAAACGCTCCAGTTCTGTTCAATGCATGCATATGTTCAGTGATGTTACTTAGTAGCCCATTTACCCTGAAGACTGACCGGGTGTGGCTGTGCAGAATAAAACACATGTCGTCAGACGCTAGGGTGTAACATTGACTGCAGCTGTTGAAGTATCAGATCAATGCAACACCTGGTGTTTAATACCAGCATGTCAATCAAATTAATCACTGTGAAAGTGAATGACATGACATTCTATTCAGTGCTTGATAAACTCTAGTTTATCATACTGTAGTTCAACGAGAGAAACTACATATAATGTATGGACTACAAATATACATATTGTCGTTTATTGTTCGTATGAAGTAGTTTACAATCAACGTAAGTCGCTCAGAAAGAGAACAGCATACTCATAGAGTGAGACCTGGGTACAATGTGCGAGTCACTGATTTGTATCATGTCCCCCGCCAGTATATACTCACTCACTGATATCAGTCTTCTAAAGTTTGTCAGTGAGATCATCAATAAGAACGGCTTAATAATGTGTCAGCTGCATGCTAATGCAGAACTACGGAGGATAGGCACAACCGCTAATGTCTACCTTGTGTTTCAATGTTTGCTGCAGTGTATGAAACAGTGAACATTTATCATCCTGTTTGGACTCAATGCCAACCACCAGTAGAGAGAATGACAGACTGTAAATGTTTTCATGAAGAGATATGGCTGTATGGGAGAGAGTGATTTAATGTCATATTCTCTGACATATATATCTGGAAATGTTATCGTGTGTCGGTTTTTGAATATTTTTTATCAATTGAGCAAATATGATAGCCCCATTGACCAGAAGAATAAGGAACATTAATCTGACACTCCGTGATATAACAGAAATACTGTTCAAAGCGGCGTTTCATCAAACTCGCCCATTCTACAGAAAGTTCTTTAACCAATGTTTATGTTGTCAGGGCCTTTCAAAAACAAGAAAATGTTAACAGGAACGAGTTGACTAATTAGGGAATATGTCTTACCTTTCACGAATATTTCTGAAACACACCAGGCCAATACAACATAAAAGTAGTTGAACATTCTGACTTTCGTTTGGATACGGCGGTCTGTAAATAATCGAGTCTAGACCAGACAATCCAGGGTTAGATATCATGAGCATCGGTCCACACAATCGGGATCCATGACATGCTTCAACCAAGTCAGGAGCCTGACCACCCGACCCCGTTAGTCACCTTTTACGACAAGCATAGTCGCCTTTTAAGGCAAATGTGGGTTGTTGAAGACCTATTCTACCCCGGATTTTCACGGGTCTTTTGGTGAAGTAATTTCTGTTAAAGTCTCAGCATAACTGTCTCGAAAGCAAGTTAAACACTGTCTGATATTTGATTTTGTTGTATTTCTAAATGATGTTTAAAATAAACATGGACTGTATGTACTTGATATAGCCCGACATCAGTTGCAAATATTTAAATTTTGCTAAAACAATGCGACATCTAACCACAATCTAGTAGACAAGAGACGATGAATATGCATTGTCATTATGGATCTAGTATTCCCTGTTTTATCGTAGTTCGAATATTAACCTCTTGTGGGTGATTTTGTGTTTCTGAAAGGTGTAATTATAACTCTAGGTTTAGTAAATTTTGTTTTATTGGCTTCAACGAAACAAAAACGAATACAATCATGTTTTAGCACCAAACTGAATAGACACTTTATTCGCAAGAATGACAGTGGACATAATGTAAGCAATCTGTTCATCTGATTTTCCTTTTAGTCTGAGTACAACTGTTTTGGTAGAGGGAAGCTCGACTTTATAATTATTTATCCCCTTTTTTAAAATATATCCTACCTCTTCTTTACACATTAATAAGGAAATGGAATACCATGGGCTAATGGCTAAATTATAATAAATTTTCAGTATTCTCATACATCTTCAACTGTGAGTGATGTTGTTTGTGTGACTACCCACTGTTCAGTATCGACTGCTGGGCTGAAATGAAACAAAGATGCAACCAAATGAGTATGCAACTAAAAGATGCGATTATCAAACACACCTAAAACTTAACAACTGGTTTACATACCTAAGGGTTTACATCCCATGATACCATATCTTCAAATATATAATTCCTGTTGTGTTTCTGTATTAAAACACATTTACACATAAAGTCGGAAATATGGGATCAGTCATCAAAATGATGAACATATATTTTGGGAAAATGACGTGTATTTTTGTTAACATGATCTGGATCTTGGCACGCCAAAAGGGACATAATCCAATTAGTTGGTTGGTTGGTTGATTTAACGCCGCACTCAGCAACATTCCAGCTATATGACGGCGGTCTGTAAAATAATCGAGTCAGACCAGACAATCCAGTGATTGACATCATGAGCATCGATCCACGCAATTGGGATCGATGACATGCATCAACCAAGTCAGCGAGCCTGACCACCCGATCCCGTTAGTCGCCTTTTACCACAAGCATAGTCGCCTTTTACGGCAAGCATGGGTTGCTGACGACCTACCCCGGAATCTTCACGGGCCCATAATCCAATTAATTGTGGCGATGTTTACAATTTGGCCATTGTAAGGGATAATTTCAAAATTAAACGGTTAACCAAGAAATCGGAATATACAGAACTTGGAATCAGTAAATAGACACAAAATATCAATGAATAATTAACAAATTATATTTACACACACAATTTTAAGTTTCCAGTCATAAATGGTAGTGCAATGGGTCAAATATGTGGCAATAGCAATAAGTAACAAGACCAATAATTAATGTCAATGCTCTCAGGAATGTCCAGAATTTGTCACTAAATGTCTTGAAAGACTTACGTGCCTCGTTCTTAAATCTGGAAACAGTGATGGAAGCTGGTAGGAAGTCGGAGTTTTCAGATAGGTAGCCCGCCCGGACAAGCGCTACAGACGCAGTCGTGGTCGTAGAAGACCTTGAATAGCCCGCATCTCACTCCAGAGCCATTCTTCTAGAAACTGTCATATGACGAAACCTCTCGAACGGCGGATTCTTCTGTTTGTCCACTGCTACAATGGAGTGATCAGATGTGTTACGGTATTTGTAGCACGTCATCAGTGCACTTAATCATACTGTCTTTATGAATTAATGAATTACTGAGTACATTCTAAGCATAGGTTTATCATTATATTTCACAGCTGCTTGGTAGATACAGATATGAATGCTTTTTCTGTATACTATTATCATACGAATCCCTACTGTGAGTAAAACTCAAGTCTCTGGGTGCCTGCGTCAGCCTGTGCTCTTATTCCAGTCCATGCAGCTCCACTGTCTGGGGAATCGGGAACATCTAAACGGATATAAAGACATGTTAAAAACAAGTAACCGCCTGAGGTCAATGTTCTTAAGTAATGATGCAATTTCATTTTCCAAAAGCACTACTATTGTTCACGCCTGAATGAATGTATTTGTAACGAAAATATATCACAAATATATATAACAAAATCTTGATGATCTACATGTTTATGAATTCATTATGGAAGTTTGGCTCATGTCACTTTACATGTTTTGTCATTCTTCATTGACACTGTTTTGTTGCCTTTATTTAGCCAGACAGGGGACAAAAGGGGATTTTAACCCTCATACGTAACTATACAAAACGCAAATATTGAATAGAATCTGAAACAACTTGGTTTTAGCACCACGTATTCATGTCGATAGTGTTCCTATTTTATTTTACAAGTGGACACATATAAATAATAAACTAGTGATTTCTGAAGCGGAAAAATTAGGGTTGTATAGATCCTACTATAGTCACAAGTATCGCAAGCAGCCCATGTGACCAACATTGCTATAGGCTGTATTTTTGGTATAGTTGCTGTTTCTGTGTAGTCATATTGGGTGATTATATCCTCGGGTCAAACCTATCACTTTCACAACCATCACCCTGCCAATGTCCTGTATGTAGTGTAGTCTGTTCATGTTCTTGGAGTAAACTGGACATGCTCAACCAGGAACGTCTGCATGTGTTCTCCATGTCCAAAGTTGCCATGATAAACATTGTGACGATGCTTCTCATTGCCGAGAGCGGTAAAGTGGTGGTGTCTCAGCAGAACCTAGCAGTCTAATTTACATCAATCAGATTAAAATATCAGCAGGACATCGTGATATGATGAATAGAAATAGGATACATACAAATAACAATAAGCAAATATGTAATCAAGCAAGCAATGCAACGAACTACTCAAATAAGTTAGAAAGCAGCACAGCAGCCAGTCAACCAACTAAGCAGCCATCCAACCATCCAAACAACCAACCGTCCAACCAAACGACAAAACATTGAATAATAAAGAAAGAAACAAAATGTGGACGGAACGATTTAAAAAAATAAGACAATGCAGAGAGGATCTCACACGGAGGAGTTTTTAACATTTGTCAACGACTGGTGATATCCTAGAATATACATACTTACTACTAATATGACATCTAAAAACATAATTATTCTTATTGGTGTACAGTTACGAGAAGATTATCTCACCTTCAGACACTATCCTGACTGTGTAAAACAGTCCCTTGCCTACGCCATTGTCCACAGTTAGCCGATAGTCCCCGAAGTCCTGCTGTTGGAGGTTAGTAAGATGTAGTCTGGCAGTGACTGAGATGTCTGAGACCGGGCTGGAGGAACCAGTGAGGTCCTGGCTGGTGCTGGTGGTTCTACTCCAGGTGAATTTAGGAAGGGGGTAGGCCAGGACTGACACAGACACATTCACGTTACCACCCAGTATAGCGGCATACTTAAGTTGGTGGGGCACTGTCTCATCAAGTCGGGGAGAACCTGACAAAATGAAACGAAATTGTAAATATAAATGTAAGTGTGCCTGAGCTCAGTTGGCTTAATCATAATTTTCAAAACCTTAACACACAACAGTCCAACTGCATGAGACCCATGTGTGTCTTTTACAAATGTAGAACATCCAAGATCTGATATATCTGAGTTCTGTTAGAAAAAAGAAGCATACATGTATGTCAATCCACGATCTGATGTATCTGAGTTCTGTTATGCATCACAGAGAAAAAAGAAGCATACATGTATGTCATGGTGACGAACATCAAGCATAAGGAATTTACATTAACTATTTATGTTCCTATTAAAAGAAAGAAAATGTTGAATTTAGTTGCTACATAAAAGACCTTTTCCACGGACTATTGCACCTATTTGCAGGTTACCAGGTTTGTCATCTCCGAAACGGAGAACCTGCAACATGATGTCGCACATATTGCCACCTGAGAATATGAGTGTATTAAGTTTACTAAAATTTTGTTTTGAGGTAGATACGTTCAAATAATCTACCAATTATGATATATTTTCTTTTAATCTTTTTATTTTCTATTTCCTTGTGAAATGTGGGAATAAGACATTTAGGCAAGAAGTAAATGTAGGCATCCCCATGGGCACGAATTGTTCTCCCCTTCTTGGAGATCTGTTTCTTTTTGCATTTGAATCGGTATTTCTGCTCATTTTGGAAATTAAAAATACGACCAAGTAGTTTAACTTAAACTTAACATTAATCATAATTTGACATTGTTCAATAACGGTCAAATGGCCAGTTCACTTCCACTGATTGACCCACCTGAACTTGAAATTCAAACCACCTGTGACACCGTTTCATCTGTTTCATTCTTAGATCAAGCTTCTGAGTGTAAAAACCCATCTCCAATAGACTGCATGACAAGACGAATTAGTTCAACTTTCCCTTTATGTCGAGCAAAGAACGTCACATTACTCTTGCGCAAAAGTTGTTTGATCAGGGGCACAAATTTTAGGGCCTCAGTAAAGTTTTAAAAATAGTTTTTTGGCAGACAAATTTTCAAATTTGTGGCACAAGTGACCAGTGATTTTGGATGCATGTCACTAATTTTTACTTGTACCATACGATCACGTGTCTTGTTGCGTGTTTTTAAGGTGCACAATTTTCTTGCCTTTGCACGTGTTTGTGACGGGTGCCAACTATGGGGCAGAATACGTTCACCTTTTCGCGAACACCTGGTATCATCACTATTTGACAGTTATTCATAAACAAATGATTATGATGTAGTCGGAATCATACAATGGATAATGCTTTTGGTATATACTGCTTATGTCGTAAGATTCTACTAACAGGATCGTCAAGCTCGCTGACTTGGTTGATGCATGTCACTGCATCCTAATTGCGTAGATCGATGCTCATAATACCAATAACTGGATTGTCGGGACCAGAGTCGATTATTTACAGACCGCCGTCCTATAGCTGGAATATTGCTGAATGCGGCGTTAAACAACAAACAAACAAACACATCTTCTAAAAAAAAAATGTATTTTGTTATTGTAATTTATGTACTTGATCAAGAAGTAGAAGCCTAATCAAGTATCTTCAGTTTCAGTCAGGGAGTACGTATGTCCCACTCGTTTTAGGCGCTACAATTCGATGCATGGAGCGCATCTCTTGGGCGTGCTGGAATACGACGATCTTAGGTTCGATTCCATAATTCACACGGATTTGTCAGCACCATACCTATGCTCTTGGTTCTGACTAGTGAGGTAAATGTGTAAGACCTGTTTTATTTGTGGCTATCCTCGAATATTAGGCTTACATATCATAATATAACTGAATTACCAACTACCTCATTCAATGGCTTCTTGAAGTTAAGACGTCCTTAGTATCCTGACATTTCTTGACATACAACACGTGTAAGCTATTGCTTGTACATTTTGTAAAAGTTGCAACACAAATATTCTTACTGAGTTGAAATTTCTAATAAGTACTCCAAATAACTCACGTGACAACTCTCTCTTAAATAAGAAAAACTACGAGACGATGGAATTAGGTGTGAACCTCATCGTTCAATATATTGATAGTAACGTGCACCTACTTCATTGTTAGGAAGTGTTTTAATACAAATGTTCTGCGACGACATATATAATGTTGTGACATAATGACGAACTTTATATTAGTTAACCGTATCTCTGTGCTGCTTCCCATACACGATGATGATATTGATATTGATTTGTTGCTACACATGCTATACGGTTACCGCAGCTACATATCAGCATATTTTTGTTGTCTCACGGTAATAATAATCCCACAATTAAGGCTACTTCAAAAGTGGAGACGCAGTAAATATGGCGTCAACGTCTTCCATCGTTCTAACTTCTTATCCTTCTTATGTAACAATTAATGAAGACTATTTTCACAACGGTGCCTTTGTTGAATATATGACAAGCCAGTCATAAAATTACAAGACTCCTCCAAAAATCAAACATTGACACCGTCACACCCCAGAAAAAAACAGATGGAAGACAAACATCCAGGTAACAGGTCACAGTCTACCGCTGTAAAGAAACACACAACGGAGAAACGTCCCTAAGCGCCACAGATCAACTGACAAACTAGACTCCAAAATCCTAATTGCGTATATCGATGCTCATGTTATCAATCACTGGCTTGTCTGGTCCAGTCTTGGTTATCTAAAGACCGCCGTCATATAGTTCATATATTAGTTTATATTATAATATTGCTATTTGTGCGGCGTAAAACAACAAACAAACGTTTCGGAGTATATGGTTACCCCTTCATCCGTTGAATGAAGGACTAAGCATATACCCCGAAACGTTCCTCATAATAAAGAAGTTGACATCCATAAATTCTCTTCCTTATGACTATCACTTCTAAATACTTTTCAATGAGCATCTGATGATACATAATATGTATAACAGATAGAGAAAACTCTTAACAATGATTTGTAATAACCATTGCCTCATAAACAGAAACTAGGCCAATGGCGTACATCTTCAAAGTCTTAACAGTAAATGATTGTCTTTGAATCATAATTTCACGAGATTTGAAACTTACAGCTAGCAATGTTAACAACACAAACAGTGATACTGACAGCTTATGGCAACATATTGTGCAGCAGAGTGGAATTTACTCCATTGACTAAGATCATGGGTGTTTGACTCAGATGCTTTTATGTCTAAAACTAAGATTGATGCATCTCATAACAAAACAGTATACTAGTATTCAAGATATATTAATATAATTATCTGACTATGTGTTGTGTACTGTAATGATCCATCGATTCGATATTCACTATTACCATCACACGTTGTGGTTTTTAGTTTCGGTGTTGCACACTCAGATCCCTGTCCGGTCACAGCACAGGTGTATGTCTTCATTCCCGCACCACTGATTGTCCTTGTCAATAGGCCCGCTGTTGTGGTTGATTCTAATACGTTTTCATCCTATAATAATATTTATGATTTTGAAACATAACTCATATAAGGAAATGACCGCATTTGCATACCATGTCATTTCATGTACATGTTTAATGCCTTAGATTCATAATAACGTATGTCAGATTCAAATATTGACAATGGTACATAAAAGCCACCCACACAACTCACTAATTAAAATAAATCTCAGCAATGAATAGATTTAAGCACACAACTTGCACATAATATGGTAAATAGAACGAACGAAACAAATATCCGGAGAGGTGGATTTTTCACGATTGCACCATTAGTATTATCACCCATAAATGCTTGACTAGCTTTAATTACAGGTGTATATACACATTATATTGGACGTTCTTTATTGAATTCCGACCATACTGCACATGATTCATATCGGTTTCGTCATCTTAGTGGAACCTCACTCTGAACGGAATTAATTCATTATAGGCAACTACATGTGCCTACAAAATTAATGGTCATAACACTCCCAGTATAAAATTACAATTTTACAGTTCTACTTCTCTAACTAAACCAACAGGAACAAAATGAGCAGTTTATCCTCATGTCGGAGAGATAAGATCGACGTGCACAGGCAACATTGCAGTCCATACAAAATTAACTGTAAAAATAAAATGGCTTATATAGAAACTACCTCCATTACAATTAATCATAACTTAGTATTTAAAGTACGTTAGTCATTATAAGTTCAATGCGAAAGTGTAGGCAAAGTGTCTTTCTTAGAATTCTACATAAGATATACAACTTTCTGAAATACCATCACCAGCCTACAGAAGCTTAGATTAAATTCAGATTAAACAGTTGAGAACGTTAAAAAGTTAGGTTAAAATCAAGAAATTGACTATGAAAATGTACATACTCTCTTCAATTTTGTGTGATTAAAACATGAATTTTTGACAATATTATTTCCTGTGTGAATACGTTATGTCTGTAGGTATACCATACTGTCCCATACATGCATGAAAAGTATACATTGTTATGCATACCCTCATTTCAAGTGTTATGGCTGGTGTTCCATGGTCATCTAATTTACATGTCACTGTGTGCCCTATTTCAACCCTTGTACACGATGCCCCCAAAGTGATATTTCTTGGTTCTGAAACAGAAAACGACAAACAGTTTTCTATGGTGTAAGGGTTGGGGTGCTGTTTGATATAAGCCCACTATGTATGTGTATATTCATTGCTCTACAATAATGAATATGATCATTGTATAATCTCTCAAATTCGG